TTTACAAATGCAGACCGCTATGTTCTTAATCCTTCAAAACCGGAAGCTTTGATGCTGGAAAGGTTAATTGTGTGTGTGTGTGTGTGTGTGTGTGTGTGTGTGTGAGTGTGCCTTGTGTCACTCAGGTAATCTGAATGTCAACACAGACACCAGCCGAACATTTGATTTAGACTCAACTCACAATATGAAAATCAGAAACCTAGCACTCTGAAGTGAGTCCAATCGAGCCGATCTGCTCTGTATACGTGCTCTCTCTCTCTCTCTATCTCTCTCTCTCTCTCTCTCTCTCTCTCTCTCTCTCTCTCTCTCTCTCTCTCTCTCTCTCTCTCTCTCTCTCTCTCTCTCTCTCTCTCTCTCTCTCTCTCTCTCTCTCTCTCTCTCTCTCTCTCTCTCTCTCTCTCTCTCTCTCTCTCTCTCTCTCTCTCTCTCTCCCTGCAGCAGTGTTCAGCCTCAGATAATAAACTCTGGTATTCAGCAGCAGCCGGAGATAATAATCGGCGTTATTCAGCAGCAGCCCGACGCTCGGCTGCAGAGGAGCATGAAAGGCCGATCGCCCCCCGGGAGGCCGCGGCCATGAAAGAGCCAAAGAAAGAGAAAAGAGTCTCTCCCTTTCAGAAAAACTCAACATGGATTTAATGCATCAACACTGAGCCGGCCATCACTGCAGAAATCCATCCGACAGAGAGAGAGAGAGAGGAGTGTTCACTGCTTCAACATAAAGAGCTGCACACAGGAAAAAAAGAACTATTTCTGACCATAAAAATCCACATTTCAGAGGGTCATGTCATTTATTATGTTTAACCCTTAGATGCATAAGTGGGTCTTTTTTGACCCGGTGAGGTGGTTTTCTTGAAGTATCTTTGTAATTACATTTTTTTATCATTTCATATTCCAGCTATTCCTCAAAAAACATGTTTTGGATATCATGCCATTCAAATTTTACACTTACATTTTATACATTTTAAGAAATTGTAGTTTTTGTATTTGTACCCCAAGCTTCCATAAGTGGGTCAAAAATGACCCTCATGCATTTCCTATGGGAACCTTTGATTCTTATCACCTGTTGCTGTCAGGAATACATTCACTGTGGACCACACAGACTACATCACACGTGACACCTCTCAGGAAGATTATTTTACACAGCAAGATCTGATACCTGTCAGTATAATAATAATAATAATAATAATAATAATAATAATAATAATAATAATAATAATAATAATAATAATAATAATAATAATAATAATACATTATATTTGTATAGGGCTTTTCAAGGACTCAAAATCGCTTTACAATATAAGGGAAGGTTAGGGTGGGGGGTATAGGACTAACAAACTTGATCAACCGGCATGGATTGATGGGGGGTGGGCTATGATGAGTAGACAAGAGGAGAAGAGATGAGTTTTGAAAAGGGACTGGAATACTGTGAGGGTCTCAGAATAGCGGAGATCTTTGCATCAATATGTTCAAAACGGTTTTTTCAAAATGTAAAGAAAATGTCTAAAATTATAAATAGTGAAAAATTAAATATAAAATATTTCTAGTGTGAACCAAAATATAATACTAAATATTATACAAGTGATTTTTCTTAACCAAAATGACACAAATGGCATTAAAACACATTATTCTAATACGGGTCCTTTTTGACCCACTTATGGAAGAGTGTAGGGTCCAGTCACTCGGGCATCTAAGGGTTAATAAACCAAAAAACTGATCTGAGATAGTAAGTTGATGTTTGACAATTTTGCAAAATTCAAGATTTGTGCGAAAAAGTCTGTCTTTACAGGCCCTTTTATGTGTTTTTGGGTTGTTGAAACATTATATAGTTATTGTATTTAAAGGCTGTTATCGTAGTATTAAAGGAGACCATGAACTGAACCACATTGAAATGAAGTATTTTGATTATATCACATATTAAGCTGAATTAATTAATAAAGAAAGCGTTATTTAAACTCATATTAAACTCTCTGCGCCCTCTGACCTCTTCACTTCTTGTTAATTGCTAAATTTGCTGATCTGCTTTTTGCTTTCCCCTCTCCTGCCGCTGTCAGTCTGGATCACGGTGTTGGCTAAGTGACTAAAATGCAAATGTAATTACTTCCACAGATTTTTCCACGCCAGTCAGTGGGAGGAGAAGCAGCCGCAGTGCAGCAACACAAACAACAACCCAGACACTAATAAATAAAGTTGGAAATATTAAAAAATAGCACCTGCTTTCATTAGCAGAGGCTCCTCGTTCCCTTTGAATTAAAGCTGTGTCTTCACACTTCAGTTAGAAAGGAAAGACGAGGATGTTTCAACAGGCCCTATTATGCTTTTTGAGTTTTTTGCTGTAGAGTGTTATATAGGTTTGTGTGCATGTAAATGGTCTCTAAAGGCTAAAATCCCAAAGCATCTCTCCCACACACTCCTCACCTCTTTTTACTCCTTTGTTTCCTTCCGTTACATAATGACATCACTATGTAACACTTGTGCTTCTATTGGCTAGCGCGCCTCCAACACATTGTCAACTAAGGGGCAGGACATTTGTAAGCGGTTGACCAATCACAACAGAGCCGGACAGCTAACCAATCACATGTTCTGATTACAACAAGCTGTTTTTTCCAGATAACAAATAAAAACAGTTTTTTGTAAAGATGTCGACCTTAAAGGTGGGGTAGGTAATTTATTTCAGAAACACTTTTGGTTATATTCCATGGAATGCTCTTAACATCCCCATAGCAATGAATACATTAAATGCTTTGACAATAAATACATAAAAAAATCTCATCTGTGGAAGCCGTGGCGCTGTAAAAAGTACGACCAATCATCTGAGCCGGCCCGGCTAAAATAACTGGATGGCCTACCTGCCTGTCAGCCTTCCATCTGTGCACAAACTTATCTCGTGCCCTCATTGGTCATGTGCGCGTTCGTGTGTGTTGGAGGAGGGGCTCTGTAAGGAAGTCTGAAGGAAGAGGCAGATTTTTTCCGGTTGTGTACTTTCAAATTCTAGCGCACTCGAGCTGGTTTCTCCAGAATGATATACCCCACCTTTAAAGTAATCCAAATCATATTCTTCGTTAGCAGTTCAGTTTGGAAAAGACTTCTTCTGTCAAAAATATGAGATAGGTTGGGCTCTTATTGGGTGTGGTTCCTACTAAAAATATATTGCTATGGTCATGGGGTTACTTTGGTGAAAAACCACAGAATATATTTTGTGTTTATAATATAACAGCGTTTTAGTTTTCTAAGCCAAAATATTACCATAATGGTCCAAACAAAACCACATGCAGAACATCAAACTGCAGTATCAGCTGTGAGACTGCAGGCAGATATGAGATGTGATCATTTGGCACAAAACTAACACTCCTATGTTACAAACACAGTCACACACACACACACACACACACACACACACACACACACACACACACACACACACACACACACACACACACACACACACACACACACACACACACACACACACACACACACACACACACACACACACACACACACAGCAGCTGACTGTCCAAACACTGCTGCTGCTCCTATGAGTCATTGGCTATTTAGTGTCGATGAATACACTAGGTGTGTGTGTGTGTGTGTGTGTGTGTGTGTGTGTGTGTGTGTGTGTGTGTGTGTGTGTGTGTGTGTGTGTGTGTGTGTGTGTGTTGGATGAATGAGTGACCTCGCTGAAGCATCTTCCTCCTCCACTCGCTCTTATATGATCTTATAAACAGAGAAAATACCTTCTGTTGCTTTTCCTGAATATTATTTCAGAGTGTAAAAAAAAGCAATAACTTGAGGTGATATTTTGAGAAAAGGTTCACATAAAGTCAAACATTTTGCATGAACAAAAGTATTATTTGGAGAGAAAAATATTTAAAGAAAATAAGAAGTAATATATGAGGAAAAAAGCTATGTATTTTCTTTCTAAATAACTCTGCATGATGGATCTAATTTAGCCAATTCAAAAAGCTTATCATATCCATTTCACATAATTGAATGTACATTGATGTGATGTCATTGTGTTTACGACCCCTTCATCTCGTGGACTGTGCTGCAAAACCAAAACAAGGAGGTCAAAGGGGCTAAAAAGCTCCATAAAGCTGGAGATATAATGGTGACTCTGTGGGTCCAACACTATGACAGATACCTTTATATAACTCTCCATTATGTAATTACCAGATAATCCCAGAGTTAAGGTTGAGGGTGTTTGTGAACTCACCTGACTCTTCAAACAATCCAGGATAAAGTGTGGATGCTTGACACATTGCTTCTCTTTGTTGGTCTTATTTTACAGAAAACTTCACATCGATCATTACATCCCTGTGTCGAGCTGCACCAAATAATGTGTAATTACATTTGTTGTTCTCTGGACTTCACAGTGTTGTTTTTCTCCTGCTCTGTTTATTAAGTTCAGACGAGGACAACAACATTTATCACCTGGAAATAAATCTGGGTCCACTAACGGGGTCTCTGTGGTGCAGGTCTCCTTGTTTATTAGATCCAGACGCCTCCTTATTCAGCAGTTATTACATTATATCTTATCATACACAGTGGAGTGGACTGTGGAGTAGCATCGGTTAAAAAAAACAAAAAACGTTATATTATCAAAACTACGAGTATAAATTGAAGCCGAGCCTGTGCTGCAGCACCTCTTTTCACCCTCTGTCTGAAACCAGAGCCCAGTCTGCTCTGATTGGTTAGCTGGCCGGCTGTGTTGTGATTGGTCCACTGCTTAGAGATGTCCCGCCCCGTAGCCTATCATGTAGAATGTGTTGGAGCACTAGCCAAAAGCAGCGTGAGTGTTACGTAGTGATGCCACTATGTTCTGTAAGTAAACAAAGGAGTCCAATGGAGGCGTTTCAGGCAGGGGGGTGAGAGTGTGGGAGAGAAAGATTTTAGCCTTTGCTGACCATTTACATGCACAAAAACCTATAAAACACACTACAGGGAAATACTGTATTCTAATAAACTGACTATAACAGATGCAGGTGTGGCAGCAGTCTCACCTGATGATGTCGTCGTTGTGTCCCAGGTAGAACCTCTGGCTGTGCTCTCTGGTGTTATACACCACGCCCACCCCGCCCACGAAGTACACCAGCTCCTTCCCGGCGGTGTAGTACAGGTTATTTCGGCACTGATGGCCCCGGTACCCGTAGACCCAATCCAGTCGGAGCCGGCAGCCCGGGGCGCTCCGGTCCGACATCCTGGATCATCTGCTTCAGTCCTGCTTCAGTCCTGGATCATCTGCTTCAGTCCTGCTTCAGTCCTGCTTCAGTCCTGCTTCAGTCCTGCTTCAGTCCTGCTTCAGTCCTACTTCAGTCCTGCTTCAGTCCTGCTTCAGTCCTACTTCAGTCCTGCTTCAGTCCTGCTTCAGTCCTGCTTCAGTCCTGGATCATCTGCTTCAGTCCTGGATCATCTGCTTCAGTCCTGGATCATCTGCTTCAGTCCTGGATCATCTGCTTCAGTCCTGCTTCAGTCCTGCTTCAGTCCTGCTTCAGTCCTGCTTCAGTCCTGCTTCAGTCCTGCTTCAGTCCTGGATCATCTGCTTCAGTCCTGCTTCAGTCCTGCTTCAGTCCTGCTTCAGTCCTGCTTCAGTCCTGCTTCAGTCCTGGATCATCTGTTTCAGTCCTGCTTCAGTCCTGCTTCAGTCCTGCTTCAGTCCTGCTTCAGTCCTGCTTCAGTCCTGCTTCAGTCCTGGATCATCTGCTTCAGTCCTGCTTCAGTCATGGATAATCTGCTTCAAGAGCCTGCACAACACAAACAGAAGATTTACTATCAATAAAGATTATTATCCTTCATCATGTATTATCAATAACATTTATTATCAATTCAAAGGGGGAAGAAGTACTCAAATCTTTGACTGGAGTAAAAGCAGTCATGTTATGCATTCAGCCGTTGACTAAGTCAAAGCGGTATTACAACATGGGAAACATACTTTGTTAAAGTCATGCATTCAAAGGTTTACTTAGTTAAAAGTAGTAATATGACATAATCAAAAGATACGCTGTCAAGCAAGCATGCATTCAAGTCTACTGAAAAAATCTGAATCTTAAAGGGAACGTACAGTACAATATTTCCCCTTACAAATTAAGTGGAATAGAAGTATAATGTAGTGTAAAAATAAGTACAATGAATTGAAAATTGAAGTCTAGTACTGCCACTGAGTAGATGTAGGCAAGGTTACTGTAGAGCCATTGGTTTTTAAGGTTAGTGTAAAACAGGTTAATTTGTTCTATTCTTCATATTTATTTCCTTTGTTGCCATCATTTTGTCATGTGCCCAATCATTATATTTCAAATCTATTATATTCTGTCTGAAGCAATCAGAATAAAACATTTTAAATTGAACATCTTAAGGTTATTTTGTGTCCGTGATGATACATTAATCAATTCAGAGTTACATTTTTATACAATTTCACTACATAAACACTTGATTCTTGTGTATCTGTAATATTTTAAAGATATTTCAGTACTTACTGGTCATTTTCCATCTCTGGTCTGTAGTATATCCATAGTTTTGCATCCAGCAGCTGAATAAGATATCTCCAAATAACAGGCTCTCCATCTTCTTCCTCATCTTCCTCCTCAGGGCTGCAGCTCAGTTATAGTCCTGCAGAGACTTCCTGCTGCACCTAAAACATTTTTTATTACCTCCTGGTCAGAGTGCAATTTCCTTTAATATTCCTAAAGGGACTAATTATGTTTTTATTGCACCCTAGATTTTAAACAGTGGGTTTATTACAACTCCATCATGCCTTATGTTATTTAACAGCTATAATTAAGAAATGAAAGGAACTCTTTTTGTAGGGTAACTATAGTTTTCTCATTTATAATTTCTGCCACAGTCTGCAGACTTTGCATCATCTGTAGACACCATATTTACTGCTCAACAAGGAAGTAGAAAATGCAGAAAAAGAGCGAATATTCCGTGAAAAACCATAAAAAAACCCAGCACAATTGATGGATGATGGGAATTATAATCCCTCCCCACACTAATCCTGGACCTCAGCCCCAGCCAGGGTTACTACAGCCCGGGTGTGTTTTATTGTGGAGGAAAAACCCATTCACAAATCTGCAAGTGAGTAAAAAAATCCTCCAGAGTCAGGAGCAAAAGGGTGTGTAATCTGATCCAGAATCTGAAAAATAAAAAAAGGGATTATTTCCTCAGTGAAGTGTTCGGGCAGTTCCGGAGACAGCCGAAGGGAAAGAGGGGGTTGAGAGATAGCGACAAAAGCGAGAGTTTAATCCCCGCGGATGATCCAACTTCAGCGGGCAGAGGAGGGGAGAGAACCCGGGATCAGAGCGCTGCATTCCGGCCGGAGGATGGGAGAGGAAGGTCCTGATTCCCGGCAGGAGGAGAGCATCCTCTCGCTGCAGCTGGAGCTCTCTGCAGACAGACAAGACAGGCAGACAGGTGGACAGACAGGTGGACAGACAGGCTGCAGGTAGACAGGAACCCGGATTTAACCCGCCGAATAAAGACCCTCCCTGACCGCCGAGTCCCTCCACTGTGATGTTTTATCGCTCGTTTTCGGACAGACAAGCAGGAGCATCAATTTAACACACAGCTGATTGTCAGATCGCGTTTCCGGTGCAAAGACTTCAAAATAAAAGCCTCTTGAGTGAGACGGGTGTAGTGCTGCATGATGAAGTACTGTACATAGGCTACTCAGTGGCGGCACCAGATATTTTTCTTTTGGGGGTGCTGCTACTGTCTACGTTTTCTCATTGTTGTTTCATGTAACTAAGTATAATTGCTTAGGTGCTGTGCTTAAGGTTAGTTATGAACTACTTTTACTTTGCTCTGATAGTATTTCCGTGAAATAGTACTTTATACTTCTACTCCATTTAAAGAGGAAAACATTTACATTTTAGTTTTCTTTTTATCCACTAAGTTAATTTGACACTTCATATTTGTTATTTTTTACATAATACATTTTCCTATGATAAATACATGCTGCTAATCAACTCGGTGTGAGACAAAGTATCCAAATTGTGCTCCACATTGACAAATAACAACCTTACTATATGTTAGTGCTAAATACAGAATATTTTTTTAACACATGTGCTCTCCAGTACAGGTTTAGCTCTGAGTGTTAGCGATGCTTGCTAATGTAAACAAAGACGTCCAAAACACGTCAGGCATTGTTTCTGATAGCAACTTGCTGTGGGTCCGCTGCCGATATGACGTCATATCGGCTGCAAATCTGTATCCGCTCGTTGTACCCCCGTTTTTAAAAGATTTGGGTACGGAGGAAAAGAGAAAGGGTTTTATTTTTTGACGCTGCGTGAGTTCCCCGACACACCGGGGACACATATTTATGTATAAAAGACATAAAAAAGTGCATTTTGGATGATAGGTCCCCTTTAACACTAAGAATGTGCTGCTATTTACTTTCTTACTTTATAATACTTCTCCCTATTTCTCGTTTATTCCAGTTCAACACACTAGAAAAATGCATTTAATTTGAGCTCATAATTTATTCAATTTTATTTTGATGGTCTTATTTGTGCACTTCCGGTCGGATTGTGTTGATTTGTCTCGCTCTTAATGCAGCTCGGGCTCAGTAACCATGACGCACAATGAGAAAACACCCCGCTCCGCTGGAGAGGACGCACGGCCGCAAAGCATTGTGGGACTTTGTGTTTTTCCCATTCATTATCATTCATGTGTTTTTATCATTGAGAAAATCAGCGAGGAAGGAAAAACTACAAATACCGGCAGCAGAGGTGGAGGAGCTGTCTGTGGTGCTGAAGGGAAACTAGGAGAGAGACACTTTCAATATGAGTTATGTAAACATATTGAATTACAAGTAAAGTCATGGTCATATAAAAAAATGCCATACATAATAAAATAATACACAAATAAAGTCATAAAGTCATACATACAATCTAAAAAAAGACAATTAATAAAAAGCAATACAAAATGTTTTTTGTTTGCCACATAAAGGGGAAACAACTTATGTTTAATGTAAATGCCAATTTGTTTATTAAAGTTAGGATTATAGTTATAATTGCTAAAAGCCATAACTTTACATATATCTACCACTAAAAAATAAAACCTAAAATACCTATCACTGCTTCTTCTGTTCTTTTATCAGAGAGCAATTTGGTATTAATGGTTTTATTTTGGAATCAATTTGTTTTCCTGGTTTTTATATAAATAAAGATTACAATTATTATATTATCATAATATTGTTCCCACAGTTGAAAATTATAAACACAACAGACGTCTGAGGTTTTTTCATTTACATTTTTGGCTGTGTTTGCTTTTAATGGTTGCACCTTTTTGAAAATCTAATAATATGCCTGTATGGGAAACTTCTGAAGCAATTGGAGTCAGGACTCAAAGAGAGGCACGATGGAGAGCTGGAGCTTTGACGGCAAACACTGACGGTTTATTTGGAGCTTCGGCCGGAGAATTCACAAGACATGTCACGGCCACGGTTTGACCACACGGTTGAGATGCCACAATAAATTCTGAACAACTCTACACCAGACCCGTGTATTTAGCTAGTTCTGAGAGAATAATCCACATTGTGCATAACAAGATAGAATCATAACACCTCTATCAGCTGACGCCAACAGGCAGGAACAGGGAGACAACACACTGAGAGCACAGCAGCCAAGGTTACAGGTGTGCTCAGTCAGGCCAGTATGAACTGATAAACTGGGTCAAAGTTATGGGCCATGGAAAAATATTTCCCCAACAACGCCTTTCTCTGGAACTCCGCTGACTGAAGTGTAAATGGATCCCTGCAGAGGATCAGGTGATGGACCACCTGGGGGATGATTTTGCATCTTTTGTTGTTATGTTTACTTCAGGTATAATAATCACACCCAACAGAGGTGTAAACAAACCTGTAAGACTCTCAGTGGGAGGATTTAATAACGGGAACTCCTGACTACACAGAAACTGAACTTCATACACTAACTGAGGGGTGTTCGGGGTGTTCCTGTTAGTTGACTAATCGTTTGAAAGGGATATTTACTATGAAAAACATTAATCTTTCATGTATTTTATGTAAAAAAATTGCAGATTTTAGCCTCTTAAATTAATCTAGAATGTATAATCTTTATCACTTCCATACACATCAGCTATCTGTGATCTACCGCTCTTGTTGCACCATCTTGTGGCCAAAACACAGAAATACACCTGAAATATAACTAAGAAATACAAATTGTAAAACACTATTATTACCATCAAGTGACTTCATCTGACTACATTTAAAAATCTAAATGTAAATGATATATGATGTTGTTCACAGTTTGTCTCTTTTTGCAGTTATAATCATGGAAGTAAAAGCATTTTAATTAAAAACTCTTTGCATGAAGTTTGTAATCCTGGCAAATCCCTGCAGAGTAATTTGTTTTTTTAGTTAAAGTGACGTCCGTTCTAAATACATCACAGACACTCACTTTGATTATCTGAAGTCTGCATTTAGTTTGTACTGCACCAAACATTTCTACTACAGTCCTCCTTTCTAAGTAACTCTGGGAAAATGTATTTCTCTTTTTTTAACCCTTAAGATCCCGGACCCTACTTCTACTTTTGGGAAAATTAAGGGAAACATAATTTAGACTAAATAGACCACATTTCTGACAAATAGCGATGTATTCATCTTATTTGTTTCATATCTATTTGATCAAGAAATGTTTCCACAACAGGTTAAATGTAATAAAGGACATGTTATGTAAGCATTTTCATTTCTTAAATGGCTTGAATTTTAGCTTTAGCAACAACAAAAAGCTTTTGAAATGTAGTTCTGTCACATGTGTTAGCCTGGCACATGGACATGTTGTTATGATATTATCAATAACGGCCTCCAAAATATACAATTGACTACTAAACACTCGATTAGGCTGAAAACTAGACTATGTGAAGTCAAGCTCTCTATTAACCCCACACACACACACACACACACACACACACACACACACACTAGCCTCAGCTCTGTATTAGCGGCTCTCTGGTGGTTATGGATGATGATGGAGATGCCCCTGCAGGTCCTCTGACAGCGTGTGTGTGTGTGTGTGTGTGTGTGTGTGTGTGTGTGTGTGTGTGTGAGAGGGTGCATGAAGTCCAACACGCCTCCAACCAGCAGTAACATCTACAACTTCAAATTGATCTCACAGCAGGCTGGGAGTGAGGGTTATAATGCATGACTTTTATTCGAAACTGTGTATTTTTACATTTACATTATATACACACACACACGAGAAAAAACAAACACTTGGTTTCGTTTTAAAAGCATTTTAATGGCTTTTTGCACATATGTAACAGACGGGGAGAAGTCTACGGGTGCAGATCCAACTAGCAGTGACCCCGGGCCCACATCACACAGACTAAATCTCACCTACAAACCCCCCGCCCACGCCGCCCCCCCCCCCCCCCACCCACCCCACCCACTGTGGCATTATTGATTGTGCAATATGAAGAAATATCTATGATTACAGTGACAGAGGAATGCACACTATATTGATCAAACTGCCAGAGAATGAAGCAAAAATAATAAAGAAAACGAGACAAATCACCACGCGAAACGTTTTTACTTTCGGGTGTTTGACCAACTCCACCACCAGCATGTGGGGAAAACCAACGCACCCACCTTTCATCACACTCTGGGGCTCTTTCCACTTTTTCTGTTTGTATGGAAGTTAATTAATGACACGATTACAAGTGAGCACAAAACAAATTCAAGATTTAATCAAGATGTTTGATTTAGATCCATTTGAAATCACCTTTTCTGATAGCAGATTTAGCAAAAAGTGGATTATTCCCTTAGGAAAATACGTCCACTTTAAACTGTCGTATATTTGTCTAGATTGACACTATTATGAAATCCATTCAACCATCAAACCATTGATTAGAGGCATACATCCTCTCAAAGAGTTCACTTTCGAGGATTTAAACTTGATATTATGGCTAAAAAAGAAATCACATTTTAAAGTGTTTTTGCACACATGTAAACAAACTACAGCATGCAAATTGAAAGGTAACATGCGACAGGAAGGCTGAAGTGTCCAACCATCATTTAAAGTCAAAATTCTGTCCTTAAAAATAGTTTTCATGCTAACAAACCTACATGCGTTCGATCCTCAAGTGCAATTTGTTGCTGTTAATTTGGTCATTAAATAACTTCCATATGAAAGCCACCAGTTTTCACTTCCTTGGCGGCAAAGTCTGAAATCAAAATAGTCAAAAGGGAGTGCTGAAGCCAACAAGCAAGCGACCATTATTCTGCAACATTACTCACTTCCAGTAAATGCTTTTTATAAAAGAACCAACTTGTCCACTTAACAGCAATGCTTAAAGTAATCTTTGTTTTTATATAATAATACATCTACGTCTCGTTACTAAATAATCCTTAGCTTAAGTGTGGAACAGAAAATACATACTGTACTGGAGGAAACAAAAACATGTTTTCAAATAAGCAAAGGACACAAATGTAGAAAATAAACCTTAATCAAAGTCAAACAATCTTACTGGTCTCTGCTATTTATTCTCCTTCATTCAGATTGGTTTAGTGTACATTAAGATCTTTTAGGTAAAGAAAGTTATACTAAGCTTATTACGGTTGGTAGGTCTTATTAGTAGTAAATATAGGTGAAATTAAAACACAGGTTTATTTTTTTTAACAGTTTGTTATACACAAGTTATACATACAGTTCAAAGCACCGCAGGGTAACGCTCTAAATTACAGCCACTTCTTTTTCTGTCTGCAAGAAATAGACCGCACCAGGAACTGAGCAGAGCACAACGATGATAATTCGCTTTTCACAGGTTTATTGCACACATTTAAGCTCAATTACTCAGTGCACAAAATTCAATTTAGTGCACCTTTTGTTTTATACTTCAAATAGCGTTTAACTGTCAGCATGTGTTGGGATATCTTTACATCATTTTGGACATTTCAGCTGGAAAAAAAAGGGTGTAATTTCAGAGGTTTACCCCGCTGTGGTCTCAGTTTTCCCCACGACAGAGGGATACACGTCATCTTGCAAAGACAAGGCCTCGCAAAAACTGAGGATGGAGCCTAAAACAGGAACTACCTACAACTTCCCAAAAGAAAAAAACAAGCTTGGAGCGTAAACACAACCCACACAAGGCAGTAGTCGACGAAAAGCCGGGAGTGATGAGAAAGCGGAGAGGAGATAGGAAACACAAATAATAGCATTAAGGATAATAAAACAGGAATATTCTGGGAACTCCTCAAGTGTTGTTGTTCAGCGGCAAACTCTGGTTTTAATCTTTATGACAGCAGCGTTTGCAGACCCCTTTTTTGATTTTTAAATTAGGTTTCCTTCAATCCAATCTGTATGCATTTCCTTTTTCCTTTTTTTATCCTGCTCCATATCTTACAAAAAGTGAACCGAGGATACAGGTGTGTGTGTGTGTGTTGTAGCTGTCGCTCTGAGCCGGACCGACGGTTGTTAGGCACAGAGTGGAGAGTTTTGGCTCGGAGCTTGCATGCTGGAGTCACGCTTTCAGAGAGGAAGAGGAGGAGGAGGAAGAGGAGGAGAGGCTGTTTGGGATTTTACTTGACGTAGCAACTGTTGTTACTGTAACTGCTGTAGGAAGTGTTTACATCCATGAGTTACATTTTAATAAAGCATGTTTTCTTCGTCATCATTTGATGTTATTACATTCACATACCTTACAGTACATTACAATTTAATTACATTTTTGGTTAGTTATATATCTAGTTGCCAAAATCCAAATTTGTACAGATTTACCGGGAAATCTTCAACAAATATTTGACATATCGAAAATGAAGAGCGAACGCCAAACTGTATATATAGTAAGTGTTCGGATGAATGAGTAACATGTTAATAAAGCATGTTTTTCCTTATTATTTGATATCACATTAACAGACATTACACCCTTGCAGTTATTATAATAGTTTTAATCAGTTGCTACGACCTAATATCTAATATCTTCCACGAATATTTGATTGACGGATAATGAGAAGGAACCCCAAACAGCACCAGAGGAAGGAAGAGGAGGAAAGAGAAGGAAGTAGGAAGTAGGACTTAGGAAGTAGGAGCATCTATTTCTTCTTGCTGAACAGACTGAAGCGCTTCTCCTTGTCTTTCTCTCGTTTCCCCGGGCTGGACTCTGCGGTGGTGGCGGCGGTCACCGTGGCGACGGAGGCGGGCAGCGTCTGAGCGCGTGCGGGGGGTGCGGGCGTGCTGGTGCTGCTGGGCGTGACCTCCGAACTCTCAACCGTCATGGCCGACGCGATGGCCGATATCCACGTGCTCATCTCCTCCTGGGGGAGATAGAGAGGGGGGGGGGGGTTAGGTGTGTTGATATGTTATATGTTAATTAAATCCTTTACATTATTTGTTATCACAATTCAAATTTAATTACAATATTTTACAAACTAAAAAAGACAAAAATAATTACTTTTATTTATCCATACGACTAAATTACAACTACCAAATAACATACAAAAATATTCAAACAAACAAATGAAAATATTCAAGTCAAAAATAATACAAATAATGTGAGTAACAATTAGGGTTTTACAGTAATGATGAGACTAATATAGCCCATTTAACAAATATATCATTATTATTGGAGAAGGAAGACATGGTTATCACCTTAAAAATAATAATAATAATCATGAAAATACAAAACAATGTCAAACGTACCTCGTCTTTGGCTTGGAAGAGATACTCATTCCCATCAGTAATCCTGTGGAAGGTAGAAAACACATTAAAGGGGACCTATCATGCAAAATGTCTTTTATAAATATGTGTCCCCGGTGTGTCAGGGAACTCACGCAGCGTCAGAAAATAAAACCCTTTCTCTTTTCCTCCGTACCCACATCTTTTAAAAATGGGGGTACAACGAGCGGATACAGATTTGCTGCCGATATGACGTCATTTCGGATGGTGGACCCACAGAGAGTTGCTATCAGAAACAATGCCTGACGTGTTTTGGACGTAATATGGTATTTGTTTACATTAGCAAGCATCGCTAACACTGAGGGTGTTTCTCAATGTCGAGGACGCTTCCTTGGTAGGACAAGTCCCTCTGAGTCAGGTCCTTCAGAAGCGAGGCAAGAATCCTTCCTAGCCTCGGAAAACGAAGAATGGTGGAACAGGCTAACAGGTGTGCAGGTGTGCGTCATATGCGAGGCCCCGCCTTAAATGGAGCGCGATTTCTGCCTAAGATTTTGGAAATTGGTCTGTGCGCAAAGCATTGTGGGGATTTTAAGATTTGAGCTCCATACTGTTTCAGAAATAATCCTTGATGTGGTTTAGAACAGGATGGCGTTTTATCACAGCAGAATTTAACTTTATCTCCGGTAGAATTCTGATCAGGCATTAGCCCCGCCTCCTTTTTTTTTTTCAAGCTAAGGACCCAAAATCCGCGTTTCTCTAACAGCTGGAATAGAGGGATATGAGGGATTTCTAAAATGCATGATCTGTTTGTATTTTGAGAAAAACACATCATAGATATATTTTTATATATTTGTATATATCTGAGACCCATAATATATGCCTTGAGTAGCATGATAGGTGCACTTTAAATAAAAAATCAGGTGTTAATATTCACTGTTAAACCTACAGAAAGGTTGTTGTTTTGTTAAAGGTAAAAGATAAACTAAATTATTCATCCTTTGAGTCAGACTTGCAGATCCTATTTCTCTGCATTACAGATCAGTTATCCAGATTCTCACTTGAGTTTGAAGACGTGTTTCTTCTTCTTGTAGTCGAGCGCCACCTCGCAGGCGGCCTCCTTCAGAGTGACGGGGATCTCGCTGTGGTACGGGATGCCCTGAGCCGCGCTCTTCTGGTCCTTATAGAAGCCCATCTCCTGCTGGTTTATCACACAGTACACGTTGTGCCACGACCTGCAGACAAACACACATTAGATTCATACAGAAACTTATAGCCAGCTTTCAATTAGTGCACAGAAAGTAGGGAGGGAGTAGCAAACAAAACTACAAGACTTAGGAATTGACAATAGGCGCTTTCACACCGGAGTACTTTTCCCCGTACTTTTCCCGTTTAGTTCCGTTAGTGCCTGGAATTTTGCGTTCACACCAAAAAGAGAACTTAGTTCAGAGAACTTTTACCCCCTTTTCAGTCCCTGCTAGAGAGGTGGGACTATCCTGGGGAGAAAAAAGTTCCAATTTCTGATTGGCTGGGTGAATTTCAAACCACGCCCCGTAAAACTCTAAAAAGTTTTGTGAAGCCGCCATTTTATTTGCTGGCATTAGCATTATTAGCATTAGCATTAGCCCCGCGTACCAACGCAGAAAGACTAACTTATGGCAACACAAAATAAAACATGGGAGCGGTGGAGATGAGGAGGTGTCGGCGTTCTGGCGATTTACTCGGAAGGCTTCAGTAGAAGCTGCTGGGAGTCCCAGCAGCTTCTACTGAAGGCAGTCCCCAACTCCGGGGACTTCCGGCCGGGGACTTCGGGTGGCAGTATACGCCGTGAAGTTGTTTGCGGCCTGCCAGTAAACCCAAAGCAGAAGAAGAAGAAGTGACGTCAGCGGCTTCATTTGCGTAATCTTCTCTCAGGGAACTTATTCCGGTGTGAACGCGATCTGCTCTTTAGTTCCATGGGGGTACAAGTGCTGGAACTAAGTGCTGGGTACTAAGTGCTGGGTACTAAGTGCTGGGTACTAAGTGCTGGGTACTAAGTGCTGGGTACTAAGTGCTGGGAACTAAGTGCTGGGAACTAAGTGCTGGGAACTAAGTACGGCAAAGTACTTGGTGTGAAAGCGGCTAAAGGGACAAAACAAAGTCCCCCCAAAATAAATCGAACTAAAACTTAGTAGGCAATAGGCAGTTGTTTTTCTAAGACGGGTTATGTAAGCATGTGTGAACGTGTATGTTTTTTTACTTGTATTTCACAGTAGTAAAAACACCCTCATTGTTTGATTTCGTGCATCGTTCACGAAGAAGAGTATTGCACTTTTAGTGTTAATTCCTGCAATATTCTCTCACAATAACATCTACTGCACCTTTTTATGTTTTCTATCTTTCCATGTTATATATATTGCATTGTTGGAGGAGCCTGGGACTTAGGAATTGATACAAGTGGGAATATAGACACAAAACATTACTGTTCTAATAAAAATGCAATATGCAATTGTCAGTTGTGTGATTGTGTATAAGTGCATGCAGATCTTTGGTTAAATATTTGTATTTTACAGAAAATAAACAAAATCTTTATTCATAGATTTTAACAGGGACGGTTAAACATTAATCAACAATTCTGTAAATGTGCAAGAGTTAGCCAAGAAGCCATTTTCATCTGTAGTCCCTGGACAGATTTTGTAAGTCAAATATGAACAAACTAAGTCAATCCTTTTTGAAAAAGAGGCACATATTGCACTCTTAGTGATAATTCCTGCAATATACTTGCACAGTTACATCTATTGCCGTTTTGAATGTTTATTTTCTTTTAATGTCAAGTGCATTGTATGTTGCATCGCTGTTCCTATTGTGCATATGACAATAAAACCCTTGAATCTAAAACTTCAGGATTTGAGGCGATCCTACCTGCTTGAAGCCTTCTTGTTGTGCCCCTCCCACTCGTGTTTGCGGTGCAGGAATGCTTCCAGTTGGGAGGGGGGGGCGTCCTGCTGGGTCTTCGCCGGCAGCGTTGCCGCCTGGCTGCTCTTGCCCTTGCGAACGCCCCCGGGAGACCCCGTAGGGCTGGGCTCCGACACTCCATTCACCACCTCTCCACCTTCAGCGGTCCCATCCTGGAAACAGAACATAAGAGCCAATCAGAGGAGGACTGAGCAGAAATGGATGTCAGTAACATACGCTATTATATATATTTATTTTTAATCGTTCTCTCTCGGACACAGAAGCTGTAAATCAGGATTATCAGAGCTGCAGCATGCAGAGCGGAGCAGATCAAAAGCTGTGTAGGGACTTCTCTAAACTGAGCTAAAACCTGATTGAAGATGCATTCCTGTCCGGTGTTTGTCTGCTACTTTGATGACTTAATAATTGAGTCAACACATTAGTCCTGAATCTGCCAATTCTAAAGTAATCCTGCATGAATCAACTCATATCTACAGTGATCTTTCATAGATGTCAAGAAAATGCTGTCTTCAGCCTCTCAAAAATATGTATTATTGAATTGTGATGTCGTGCTTTTCTCCATGTTAGAACATAAGTAAATAAATTGGGTTTTTGACCGATACCTTGGACTTTGAGACACTGTGATTATAATTTTTCCCTATTCATTGTCCTCTTTTGGACCAAACTATTTACAATTAAGAAAATAATCTGTGATATTGTAATTCATGGTTAGTTACAGCTCTAATAGTGTTTGGATTAAACGAGAGCACGTCAAAATCACGTTCAAAGTCTTTCTGGATCATCTAGAGTTAAGCCTGATGTTACGAAACCAGTGCAAGCTAATCTTAGACTCTTAACTGAATTAAATTACTCATCAGCAACTTAATTATTAATGCATTTTAAGCGTTTCGTTTCCAGCGTGTAATAAAGTGAGTTCAGCGCTGGACTCCAGTTCTGATTAGGAAACACCTGCATTGAACATTAGGAGCACAGAGAGGTAACACACATGCACTGATTACAGACTTTAGGACATGCACAGTAAATCACAACACCACTCATCACACACACACACACACACACAACATGGTGGACAGTGTGAAGAAAGTCGAGGAGAGGGAGAAGCTAGCAGATGGTAAACACACAACAAAAACACACAAACAATTATCCACAAAAATTGCTTGGAATTCATTACTTGGCGTCATTATTTGTGAGGGGATAATGCGATTGGCCTAGTATTCAAACAGATTTTATTTGTTTCCACACCACACCCACTCCAACCGGATGCTTATTACCCGTTCACTGAGCTCTTCAGGGGCTGGACCAATGGTGGACGCTCTTTATGAGACCAGTTCAGAGGCTGGACCAATCCTGGGAGCTTTAACCGAAGGAAGGCAAGAGCTGGACCAATCCTGGGAGCTTTTATCAAGAGCTCGGCGAAAAAGCTACGTTTATTGGAGTTCAAATGATCCCGAGAACATTTACTTGATTGGACAAATTAGGAAGAGCTTTCCCTGACAGCTAATCAAAGAGTGGGAGATTTTTGGTTTTGCTTGTGAAACGTTATACCATCATGGTCCTCTTATTGAAGGACATATAAGCAAGCTTTCTTGAATGCGAATTAAGGCGAGTACGTACGAATGTTATCACTAACGCAGAAATACAAATGAGCATATCTTAACCAAATATTGGAATCTATGATAAGAGCTAGAATCAAAACATTTACGGCGCATTTCCACTGCAGGGCCTCGCACGGCTTAGTACGGTATAGTTAGGCCTTGGTAGGCCAGGCTCACTTTATGCTGCGTTTCCATTACAGTTTAGTAGCTGGGGCGGTAACTATAGTAACACAGTGTAGGCGGAGCCGTGACGTCATCTATATATATGTGTTTTTAGCACTTCTTAACACGTGGCTTGTGTGGTCATTTATTCTTTTATGATTCCTATGATGTTTGAATTTTTTGTCAACCACTTTGTGACCATGTCTGTGGAAAGCACTTTATAAATAAATGTTACTTACTTTTACTTATATCAGGGTCAATGAAGTAATACTACTGAAGATAACTTTGACAAATATCCCTACTTTTCATAATGGATTTATTAAGGATTTTATAGTTAAGTCCGATTAGACAAACCACCCGACAAAGCCGAGCAGTGTAGACTTTGTGCGGATTATTTCAGAATCGGGGTGAATTCTTGCAACTGTTTTTGTCTGATTTGAAGTTTTTTTGCTCCGGGACAATTGCAGAAAATGTATTTTGTCTGTTTACAATATGATATATCACCTTAATAACTTAAAACCGCTCAATGTCTGCCCAGCTTCACCCCTGATTGGACTGTTTTTATAGTATGTAATCGACTTCTTATATTTACAAGTATATGTTTATAGAATATGTATTTTAAGCACGTGGAATCTGTTCAATAGAAAACTAGAAATACTTTCATTGTTGCTGGTAAAATAATGAACAAGAAAACAGCAGGAACTTTGTGTAGCTAGCTTCCCGTTTGATTATTCAATTCAACTATTCTTTGATATTCCTGATTGTGAACTACGTCAATGAAAGCAGCGTTCTATACAAACCAACATAATAATAATAAATGCATTAAAATAAAGCCCCAGGATGAACACTGGTGAAGAACATGAGATGAAAGTAAAACAACAATGACAGAAAACTGAAATGCTAATGATGGTGACAGCATGCAACAGAAAGAAAAACCTACTGTATGTGAAGGAAAGTGAACACATGGATAACACATGGACAGGTAAACCAGAACGGGTCTGAGCGATCTGATTGGTTCAGACAGGGTTTATTGGGGAACATGTGTGTTAGTCAGGGAACCAATGAAAGAGCTGGATGGACATGCAACAGTTAACAATTGAAAAAACAAAAAAACATATAAGACACAATAATGGTGATACAAAACAGAGTCACAGTGACGCAGGGTTTTAACTGAGTAACTACTATGTGGAGGATGAAGTAGGAACACACACACACACGCACTCATACACACAGTGCGTGTAAATGCTTATAAGTTTATGTAGGATCAGTTTTCCATGAAGATGTTGAATGATTTGGTCAGTGTGAAGAATGATACAAATGTATGGAAAAATGTCAGAATGTACTTTTTAGGGAATGACTTTCTGCAAATTATTTTGAATTACTTCTCATAATTCAGACTTCTAGATATGGACCTGCTCTAAGGACAGTGAAACACCATATAAACAATATTATGTATACAACTTGAAATGAACATTTGCATAACTGTCTGGCCTGTTTGTTTACTTAAAGGGGACCTATCATGCAAAATGCACTTTTTGATGTCTTTTATACATAACTATGTGTCCCCGGTGTGTCAGGGAACTCACGCAGCGTCAGAAAATAAAACCCTCTCTCTTTTCCTCCGTTCCCAAATATCTAAAAACGGGGCTACAACGGAGCTGATCTTGATTTGCGTCCGATATGACGTAATATCTGAAATGTGGACCCACGGCCCTATCAGAAACGTTGCTATCAGAAACAATGCCCGACTGTTTTGGACGTAATATGGTCGGTGTTTACATTAGCATCGCTAACACTCAGAGCTAACCTGTACTGGAGAGCATGTGTGTGAAGAAGCAGGAAATAAAAAGGAACTCACCTTGTGGTATAACCGGCAAGAGAGAAAGCCTTTGAGCTCCATACTGTTTCAGAAATAATCCTTGATAATCCATGATATGGCGTTTCATCACGGCAGTATTTAGTTTAGACAGTAGCTGCCGGGTTTTTATATATTTGTATATATCTGAGACCTATGCTATTGCCTAAAAATAGCATGATAGGTGACCTTTAAGAGTAGTGAATTACTTTAAATGTAAAAAAGGCGTATGAGAGTGGAGATGTGGGGGTGAAAGAAGAAGAGAAACGTGAATGAGTTATATTTCTCCTGTTATATTAGATACATGTGTTACTCATTTTCTTTTGTGGTGGATTTAAAGGTTGTAAAAGCAACGATTAATTTATTGTACTCAAAATAAAGAGTCTCTCTACTTTTGATTATTACCTAGACGCTAAACAGTTTTGTTTAAGCTTTTCACAATAAAGCTTAAACATTTTCCTCCTAGATTCTCCATAAACGGTAACTATGAGATCTGTTAATATGAATTGTTAACATAGAGTGTGTGTTGTGTGTGTGATGGAAAACATGATGATACACACACTACACTCTATGGAAACAAAATGAATATGATGTTTGTGGGTTGTTGGATGTAGACACACATCGGGCCGGTACTGTAGATACAGTGAGAGTTCATTTACAAAAGTACTTTTTAAACTTACTTTAAACTAAATAGCCGCCTACAAAGCTTTTTAAGTGGCTTTCAGACTAAATGTGTGTCTGTCTCGTCCAAAATATGAATTTCGAAAATGATTTCCCCTTTAAAACAATATAAATTATCATTTTAAAATGCTCATAAATCTGTGATTAATTACAACAATCCACAGATAATCAATGCATTGTTAATGATCAAAATAAAAGTATAGCAGCTTAAAATCCTTTATTTTAAGACAATAAGAGTAAGACATAAGGTATCTGGATATATTAAGGAGGATAAACTAATGTACTATGATTGTTGATTTGTCATCAATCATTAATGCATGCAAGTCATTTTAGTTTTATTCCCTTATTCGTCACTCTGCAGATGACGCCTTGATTTTCGTTTGATATAAAAAATACTTATATTAATCCTACGAATGCCCGTTAAACTTGAACTGATAAACATATTATTAAATGACTGTGTGATGCTTTTTTAAACCGTGTTTAAGAGGGAGGGCTTTGTGTTTTTTATCGGGGACGTCTCAGATGTTCCAGAGGGTGAGTGTATAAATGACGACGTAAAGTAGCAGCAACATTAACAGCTGAGGGGAGAAGATGGCGGGGGGGTCGAGCTGAGAGAGAAAGAGGGAGAAGAATGAGGGGAGGGAAGGATAGGAGTGTGTGTGTGTGTGTGTGTGTGTGTGTGTGTGTGTGTGTTCTGTGGTTCCATATTGTGCATTCACACTCACACCAAATGTGGATTCGTACATCTTTCGTTCTCATTATGCATTTCAATGTTTTACTAACATGACTTTCTGTTTACATTACTCATGAACTGCTACTGTTGAGTTTAGAGCACCATTTTGTAGCATGATTATAAGTTGTAATGCAGTTCATCATGTCTATTTCTAATTTACGTTAATGCACCAATTAAGTACAAACAGGAATATAAGGTACGTTTAAGGAATTCAGCAATACTTTGTATATTTGCTTGAGAAATGTGATTAAATATGACAAACCTAAATGGTACACTACAAAGATTAGTCCCTTATTTAGTTTCCTTACAGTTCCTTACTTAGGCCTTTTCCTACAACCTTCAAATGCACTAAGTAGAACTATAGCCTGAAACACATTATGTTAAAATAACCAAAATGTTCTCGCATCAATTACTGATCGGACCTCTCGTACTCTTCAAGTTGGAGTGTCTCAAAATGAAGACAATTTCCATCAGTCCCATGTCTTCCTTTCTTTCGTTCAGAGACAATTAAAGCAGATTTAAAGGCCTCTTAAAAGAAAAATATCTCAATTTGTTAGATAAAATACTCATAAAGTTCAACTTAATACACTGAGAAAGAGGGATATTAATCAGTAAGAAGGAAACAATACATTCTGAAGACAAGTGATGATACATACAGGAATATGAATGTGTGGATCCCAAGAGTGTGTGAGGAGGAGGGATACCAAACACTCAAAGGTTATTGTTGTGTGTGTGTGTGTGTGTGTGTGTGTGTGTGTGTGTGTGTCAGGGTGCGTTGGTGGCCCTGCGGCTCTGCAGGGTGCTGCTGTATTGCTGGTATGCAGGCGAGCGGTAACTAACCCTGGGAGACTCCTGGTCTGACGGCAGCCCGTTCTGAGACACCGGCTCTCCCTCCCTGCAAACACACAGAACACACACACACCGTTTAATCTCTCACACACAGTTAAAACCATCTCACACACAGAACACACACACAGTAACACCTCTCTCACACACAGTTAAAACCATCTCACACACAGAACACACACACAGTAACACCTCTCTCACACACAGTTAAAACCATCTCACACACAGAACACACACACAGTTAACCCTCTCTCACACACAGTTAACTCTCACACACAGTTACACCTCACACACACAGGCCGTTTCTCAATGTCGAGTATACCTGCTGCAGAGCCACTATTTCAAGTATACTACGTCATCGAGTGGCGCCGAAGGACTGTTTAAATGCCCAGCATTCGGCGCCACTCGATGACGTAGTATACTTGAAATAGTGGCTCTGCAGCAGGTATACTCGACATTGAGAAACGGCCAGTTACCAGTTACCACACACACACACACACACACACACACACACACACACACACACACACACACACACACACACACACACACACACACACACACACACACACACACACACACACACACACACACACACACACAACACACACACACACACACACACACACACACACACACACACACACACACACACACACACACACACACACACACACACACACACACACACACACACACACACACCACACACACACACACACACACACACACACACACACACACACACACACACACACACACACACACACACACACACACACACACACACACACACACACAGGTCCTGGTGAATTACTGGGATAACCTTTCAAGCATCATTAGTTGCCACTATACACACATGCAGTAAATTCAGGAACATTTAGTTTTGCAGGTTTTCTCCCATGCCATGGTAATAGATGCCAGAACATATGGAGCAAGGGACATCAAGGAAGTGGCGGTAATGCAAAGCAAATATAAACCATTTAGTTATTTAGTGCATGGTTGATGAAACATTGTTGGTATCTAAATGGAAGTAAGCCCCTCATCTTCTGCCACATCTTGTGCGGGGGACTCGTGTAAACACATCTGATACCACTTTAGCTAAATTGCTAATCATGCAAATTGTGCATTTAGCTTCATTGGCATTGGCCTGATCCAAATTAGTATAAGTTCTCGTCTTTGCATTGACTTTATATTACCACCCCTCTTGTCCGTTATTAAAGCACCGTTATAAAAGTCAAAGTATGTACTTGAACGTGGGTGAAAATGTCTCTTAATATTTATATCAAGGTAGGTTGCTTTTGTCAGGTTCCAATGATTTGTAATGTATTAAACATTCAAAATAAAAAAAAGTGATTAACTTGAATCAGAAAAATGTATTTGATACAATAAAAGGAACATTAAAAGAGTACCGGATGAAAATACTGCATGTGTTGACGGCCGAACAAACACTGACCTGATCTGAGCGTCTCCGGGCTGAGCCTCAGTCAGGGGGGACTGCCTCCTCTTCTCTTCTTCCTCCTGCATTCTTCTCACTTCCAATAACTCCATCTGCACACACACACACACATTCAGCCTCAGTTAAAGTTTCTTAACTGCATATCATTTTATCTTGAAATGTATCTTGAAATGTATTAATCTTTAATCTTGTGTGAATCTGTGCTGTCCTGTTTTTCAATCTTAGCATGTTGTTGTTTAAACTACTTAATTTCCCCACAGGGATTAATAAAGGTCCATCTTATCTTGTCTTATCTTAAAGGGGACCTCTCATGCAAAATGCACTTTTTAATGTCTTTTATACATAATTATGTGTCCCCGGTGTGTCAGGGAACTCACGCAGCGTCAGAAAATAAAACCCTCTCTCTTTTCCTCCGTACCCAAATCTCTAAAAACGGGGCAACAACGGAGCTGATCCAGATTTGCGTCCGATATGACGTAATATCTGAAATGTGGACCCACGGCCCTATCAGAAACGTTGCTATCAGAAACAATGCCCGACTGTTTTGGACGTAATATGGTCGGTGTTTACATTAGCATCGCTAACACTCAGAGCTAACCTGTACTGGAGAGCATGTGTGTGAAGAAGCAGGAAATAAAAAGGAACTCACCTTGTGGTATAACCGGCAAGAGAGAAAGCCTTTGAGCTCCATACTGTTTCAGAAATAATCCTTGATAATCCATGATATGGCGTTTCATCACGGCAGTATTTAGTTTAGACAGTAGCTGCCGGGTCCCGCATGAGCTCAGCCCCCTCCTTTTTTTAAAGCTTTATACCCAAATCAGCACTTTTGAAACAGGAAGTGAAATAGAGGGATATGAGGCATGGCTAGAATGGGTGATCTGTTTGGTATTTTGAGCAAAACACTTCATAGACATGTTTTTTTATATATTTTTATATATCTGAGACCTATGCTATTGCCTAAAAATAGCATGATAGGTGATCTTTAAAATACAGATTCCTTCAAAAACAACATTTACTTATTCCATTCATTGGTATTTGTCTCTTAGGTACTGTACAGAATTCAGGAGTAATCCAGACCAGATTTCTGTCATTGGATTTAAGAATATATTAAACCATAATCAGTGTGAATTTGGATCTTAAATGACATGCAGAGTAACTTAAAGCAAGTGTGAGTTTGAAAACTGTGTTTTTTCTGTTTTGCTTTTATTTTACATTTTTAAATGGTTTTATTTCAACATATTTAAATTTATTGTCAGCTTTAATTCACAGGAATTTCATTAGGATCACTCGGATGTTTTATCTTGTTCTGTATTTATTTTATTATTGTTGTTATGTTTTCTGTAAAGCACTTTGGGCTGCTTTGTGCATGAAAGGTGCTATACAAATACAGTTTATCATTATTCTGATGTGTCTGCGTCTCACCGTGGTCAGCCTCTCCAGAGCGGAGAAGCGTTCCTCCCAGGTGGCGGCCGACTTCTCGAAGGCCTCGTGGCGTTTGATGAGCTTCTCGACCTCGTCCACGTTCAGCCCGATCTCCCTGCTGCAGAGGTAGGGGTCCTGCCCCAGCAGCCAGGCCTCGGCCACGCCCGCATCCCGGGAGAACTGGTGCACCTCCAGGACTGAACACACACACACACACACACATTTAATCAACATGTATTCAGCTTATTGACATGGTTTCTGTGACTATATGTGAAGGTCTTTACCCAGTCTCAGCCACTCCCATCTGTCCTCCCACTTGTCAATCATGTCTTTCCTCTTGTCCGTCAACTGTAACAACTTTTCTTTAATCTGAGGAGAAAAATATTGAAAAAGAAGATTACAATTTGGAAATAAAATCTACATAGACCCTTAATTTACATTCTCCAGGAAATGCAAGTAGGTTTGGAACCAACATGTATTTTCATCATCGATAAAACGTGAGGATATGGTGAAAAATGTCCAGTTTCTCAAAGTTCAAGGTGATTTTTTAAGACATTCACAGAAAAGGATGTTGATAATTAATGTGTTTCTATGCAGGCAACAACTTTTCTTTAATCCGAGGGGAGAAAAACATTTTAAAAATAAGTTTAAAATGAGAAAAATTATTAAATTGCAAATGTATTCATATGATTTGAAGCTAGAAACTAGAAACACTCATTCTTCAGAAGGTGCTGTTCAATTCACTTTGATATGATATAAAACAGAGAAAGCAGCACATTGCTATATTTTATATGCTTAAAACTGCTTTTTTAAATACATGCATGACAAATGACTTTAACGATTCATTGATTATCAAAAAAGGTCTGTTCCTGCTATCGCTATAGCATTTCACAGCAAAATCTATTCTGGAAACGAAACACAGGGAGAGGTTTTGTGTAAAGGACGTGTTTCTCTGCAGGTCCTCACCTCCTCTGCAGCGTAGTGCTTCCTGGCCAGCAGAGCTTTCCCAAGCTCGATGCAGGACGTGAAGCTGTCGTTTCGGGTGTCGATCTCCGCCTTGATGCCCTGATGGTTGTTCATCAGCAGCTCCACAGACGACACGTCCCTGAAGACCAGCAAAAACAAACAAATTCATTTCGTTTTAGTAAATAAAGCCATATTTACAGTAAAAAACATAGGTTCTGTTTTCAGATCTACATCCCAACACACAGTTGTCTTAATGTTGTTGAAATACGTTTTGCTAAAAGATTTTGAAAATAAATAAAAATCTGCTTAAATGATTGTTAAATAGCTGTCGCCATTATCCATAATATAATGTTAATTTCTATTTAAAAATATATGAAATAGATCATGTTTTTTGCAAGAATCTGTACCCAATTTCTTTTTTGCCTGGGACTCAAACAATAAACCGTCAACAATATTTTCTATTCAAAGCGAAAGTGGGAAGTGAAATGAGATACACAGAACAAAATCATCACGAAAACATTTTTTAGCGTGTGCTACTTATTTCCTCCACACAGGGAAGAGGAATGAGTGAACCACTGCACATCAGCTGTTATCTTAAACCCAAGCCCCCAGGAAGTGCGCCGGACTCTGTGCCAATATTCATTGTGTCCAAACGGCGGTACTACAATTTCCGTATCAGTCCGTGACGTCACTGGGCCCAGAAAGACTTTTCCCCATTGACTAACATGGGGAAAGAGACGTCTGTAAATCAGCGGATAATTTTTTTGTAACTAAATAAACTACCCATTATGAACTATTTTATAGCCCTTATTAGAATCATTCGGTCCTCAAAGTTGTAAAATGCACTAAAAGCCGAATCTAGATTTATTTTCCGTCTCCATTCATTCTACTGTGCCGAGAGTGGGAGCTCGGGGGGCGCATGCTCTATGAGCGCACATACGGGTTCTTCTGCTCCGACAGCCAGGCATGATGGGTAATCTGTGACGTTTCGCTCTCTCAAAAGTTGGGCCATTTTGTCTTCATGCGCCAATGAGCAGCTCTCATAGGAAAGAACGAGACCCCGCCTCCCACGCTGTATCCAGTTCTTATTATACATCCATGCTTAATTTGCAAAAGGTTAAGGACGAGGGGGTTTAATGGTGGGGATGTTTAGATGTTAAGGGTGGACCAGTTGGCTTTATAGTGTGACTGTAAGCTGTGTTCTGGGTGCAGAACTTCTTTATCCTCTGAGGATGAAGTAGCTCTGTTCCTACATTTGGGATGGATTTCACTTGTATATTGACTTTCTTTATTACTTTATTAAATATAACAAACTTTGCACATGAATAATTGATCAGTTTCTCTTAAGAATTCCCTCCACACTCCTCACCGGGGTTTCTCCTGGGCTTCGATCAGGCGGATCGTGTCCTCCATCCACAGCATCAGGTCTCGCACCATGCTGAAGAAGCGGAACTTGTCTCCGGTCTCCACCAGCTTCGCCCGCCGGCCCTCCGCCGCCTCCAGCAAGCTCTTCCAGGCCTCCAGCACCTGAGGGGGGAGGACAGAAAAGAGCACATTTAATCTCCATTTTTACCTTTACGTAATATACCCCAGCCCCAAAACAGAGGAGCATCTCACAACTGTGTTCACTTTCATCAGAAGAGATCCATCATCATCAGTGGGGGACCATTATACTTTATGATACATCAGATTATTAATGAGGGATATTCAGCTTGCATATACTGTAAAATACTTAACACTTTAAAGGTCATGTAACAGTTGCAGAGTCTAGCACAGGTGCTACAGCCCGGGGAAATAAATAAATAGCATAAAGCAAATAATAAACAATGCGCTGACGGCAGAGACTCAAGAAGGCAACAGGACAATAACGCTCTGATATTTATATGTATATTAATATCTCTGGCTGTGTAAGGTGACTGTAATGGCGCATTCCCACTGCAGCGCGTAGCACGGTTTAAGCGTGCCGTGCCAAACCCGGCCTGTTTTCGGTTGCGTTTCCACTAGGGGTAGTTCCGGCTAACGGGTACTTTTTCACAGTTTTTCTGGCTCTCCAAAATCGTGTTTTTTTCCGGGCCACCAACCGGGCTGAGTATGCTAAACTAGAGAGAGAATCGCTGGCAAGAGGGCTACAACTACAACAAAATGAACATATTTTACCGTGATTTAATTGTAATACACGTTTCAAAATGGTGCCGAAGTAACAACATACTGATACCGGTTAGTAAAAACCATGAATTAATGCTTTGACAAGTCTGCAGACAGACGGCAGGCGAAACACCTTTTAAAATGCGTGTTTTCTGAATGGAGATTGGCTAAGCTAACGTTGTATATGCTCCGACCCTCCACACTCACAACAACGGCCTATACAGACATAAATAAACCAGCGACTGTACTCGCCATGACACAGGCAGTCTGTGGTTTGTACTTGTTTCACTTGTGTCTAGTTTCTGAACAGATATGAGGAGCTGTGAGCTCTGAGTGCTAACAGCTAACGGCTGTGTTGGTTTTGTGGTTCGCATTGAAGATCACGTCACGGCTCCGCCTACACTGCGTTACTATAGTTACTACCCCAGCTACTAAACTGTAATGGAAACGCAGCATAAAGTGAGCCTGGCCTACCAAGGCCTAACTATACCGTACTAAGCCGTGCGAGGCCCTGCAGTGGAAATGCGCCATAAGAGTATCAGTGAGCAGGGCTGCTTCATGAGAGATGGATTTTTTCTGACTGATTTTCAGTTTTTTAGTAGATCAGATATTTGCTCTCAATATCAGCTGGTGGAGACTTGTAATTATTATTTCTATACCTTAGGAAGATTCTGAAGTAACTTATAAACACTTTAGTTTTTTTTACAGTTTTCTTTTACCTTGACATACTTTTAATACAATTTGCAGCTAAATGGAGCCCCAAAGTGCGAGTCTGAGTGTATAACCACTACTGGATTTAACCTCAATAAAAAAAAAACTGGAGAATTAAACATCATTTTCCAGCCAAAGGCAGCCACACAAGTAAAAGTGTCTGAGCTTCACGAGGCAAAGTGTGCTCAGAGAGGCGCTGTTGCAGATGTCTCCAGAATTAATGCCTACATTTTGACGGCCTTGCTGATTGCATTCAAAAAATAATCAGTAGATTTGAGTCTTCTTACCCCTCTCTCAGTTCTGTTATTATCCAAAGAACCATGTGACACTGAGACATGGTTAAAGTCGATGGACTCGTGCCTTGCAGGGGACTAAAAGCGATACTTTGCAGGCTAAAAAGCGACTACTGTTAAGCAAATGTGAACAAAAACATTTGCATTGCACCACTGTGTGCAGCCGTGAAGTATAACAAATGCATCTTACATTGATTTTTAAAAAGCTAGATGCTGAAGCCCTACATTTTCATTGACTGACAGACCTAATCTGTATTTGCAAACTACTAGTAGTGTTTGTTTTACCCTCCTCTGAGGCCCAGGTGGGTGGAGTTTACTGCTTATTGGCAGAGTTGGCAATCATAAATAATTGATGTCTTCTCTGCAAACATCCACCCACACAGTGACCTTAGGAGGACACAAACAAACCCTACGAGTATTTCCAAATCACCAGGTCAGCTGTACTGCATGAAAGCGACTAAAATGTCACTAAAACTATTCAACATTTTAGTCGAAATATTAGAGTAAAGCCTACAACTGCAGCCAAAATGAACACTGATGCAAAGCCGATGTTTTTCTGGGTAAACAGAGTCTCACCTCTCCCTTTCTCCTCTGGGGGGGGGGACAGAGAGGATGGAAACGGACATACAGGGAATGGTCAAAACACAACGCCATCAAAAACACTCAGTGTGGATCTTCATCAACACTCTGCACCTCAACGTGGTACTTTTGTTATTCTTTACAAACATCTACTTCTGTTTGAGTTTGCAGAATTTCCCTAAGATGTACCATGATGTATGAAGACACACGTAGAAGACACTTTCCTGTACAAAGAAAAACAATAAAACAGAGACAAAAAACAAAAAGACAAAAGACGTGGTGCTCACTTCTTAGAGACAGGCGCCTCTCAGGAAAAAGAGAACATCCTGATGAAATGGAAAATGTGCGATAACTTGCACTGTCGCCTTATTTACACCACAAAAAATGACAAAATTCCCATATAGTTAAAACTGGATTTTGTATATTTTCTTATTTGACTCGGAGGAAGACAAAAAAAAAATCCCGAAACCTGGGACTTTTTCTTTTATGATCTCAGCAAACTTACTATCTTAACTTTAATCTGAGTTAACAAAAAACAGGTCTGACCTGTTAAAAAACGTGTTTAAAGTATTCACAATGTTGACCGTGATATAACTGTCACTGTTTCATTGCAAATTAATGACGATGGTTAAAAAACCAGATAAGATTTGGAGAGAAATCACGTTTTAACTCAAGTTTCTATTGAAAGAAAGTGCTTTTCCTTATGGGCATTTATAAGGATATTATAAGCACTAATGTGTACAAAAGCATCAATGAGGAAACTCTATAGTGTTCCCTGTATTTTGACCATGCCCTGTAGGATTTAATAAGCGTCTAAGATCTGAAACCTGTTGTAGGGTTATGAATAAAATAACAGATTTTCATGAACAATACTCCATGTTCTTGCATCTTTAAACAGCCTCACACAAGCATATCATTAAACATATTTTAGGATTCTTTAATCTGGGAATCTGAGCCCCCTAAAAGTGTATTTTCTTCTTTGCTAAGAAAATGAATATTTCAGGGCGGAGGAAGAGCAAAATTAGTGCAGCAGCGTTGCAGCATGCGTGAGTAACAGAGAGCCTTTTAACATCAATGCAGATCACTTTCAATTCAATCAGTAAGAGAAGGACTATCAGAAACATACTGAAAGATATATAGATTTATAAAAACATCTCCTGCAGCAGGAACCGTCAGACTCAGAGTTACTGATTGAATCCAAAGTGTATTTCCTGTCTCTCAGCTCACCTCTCCTTCTCTCTTCTGGATGTCGTCGGCTTTGTCTCCGGCGTAAGCCGACTGCAGACGGACGGCGTCCTCCTGCAGCTGCCGCACCTGGAGGCACAGAGGAAGAGGAGGACAAACGCTCAGTTAGTGAAGAACACACTAAAGCTTTTAAACATCAGTATGAGAAGCTTATATGGGCCCTTGGAATTACATTTAGGACCAATTTGATGCACAATTCTTCCCCTAGATGGATCAGGAGGAAGCGAGTGTGAGAGGAAACTGGTAAACTATTTTAAAAAGACAGAAATGTAACAATCCAATGTCAGAAAAGAAAAGTGATTCATAAAATCCTACTCTCTGCGTCTTGGCACTTTTTTTCAACAGCCATTTTTATAATATTATTTTAAGACACTTCGTTTAAATCAATTAATTCAATGCTGTAAGAACCCTGAAAGGACCTTCTTTATTTTCAAGCTAGTATCAAAAGCCAGCTGAATGTGCCGTTTCCAGGCTTTTAAATTGTATATAAAATAGCTTTTTATTAGTTCCATATTTGCTCATATTTTACAACCCACTTCCTCTTACTGTGTTTATGTCTGCAACATTATACACCAAAGCCTATTCCTTATACGTCTAAACCTACTTGTAATTAAACCGGTTTGTTATTCTTGCATACATATTTTTATATATATTTGTTTTTGTACTCAGGATTGTGGGAAACGGTATTTCGATCTCTCTGTCTGTACACAAACTGAAAGATTGACAATAAAGTTGACTTTGACTTGTATCAGTCCCACATCTCTAGTACCTGTGTCCCCAGCGCCTGGATGTCGTGTTCGAAGGTGGTGTGCATCCTCTGCAGCGTCTCCACCGTGTTCTGGTCGCGGCCCAGCTCCTCGGGCAGCTTCTTGTGTTTGTCCAGGATGCGGTGGAGGATCTCCTTGGCGTCGTGGTAGAACTTGTGCAGCTCGAAGGAGGCGGCGAGGATCTGCGTGCGCGTGTCGATGAGCTCCAGCAGGTCGGCCCACGCCTCGTTCAGCCCGTCCTTCCACTCTGCGATGGTGGCGGCGTCTCCGTGGCCCGTGTTGATCAGATCGTCCGCCTGCTGGTTCACCGTGTCCACGCGCTCCTGCCCGATGTTCCCTGTGTCGCGGGCGAACTCTCTGAAGCGCTCCTGCAGCATCTGAGGACCAAAGGGTAAAGGTTCTTACCATCCTGTCATACGAGCACACTTTCTGTTGGATTTGAGCAAGAATAATTGTTTTAAGTATATTCAACAATACGGATATCAATACTTTGAAAGCGAGCATTAATTGTCAAATAAATGTAGTGGATTAAAAATTACACTAATGGCTTCCAAATAGAAGTATAGGAGAGAAACTCCCTCTGGAGGGAACACATGGATTTTTGCCTTTGCAGATCATTTACATTACACTAAAACCTATTAAAAAAAACACTACGGGAAAAGGAACACAGAAAAAGCATAATAGAGCCTTTCAAAAATAAATAATTGATAAGACAATCAAGTACCTAATCTCAGAATTGTATTTAAGTAAGGCAAGTTTATTTATTTTATATTTAAGTAAGGCATAAATAAGACCATACAAGGTACTGCTAGTAATCCCCAAATGAAGGCCTATGAAGACAGGTGAAGGTACTGACGGTGACGTGCTCGTAGTCCTGGCCCAGCTCGTGGGACCCGGCCACCACCTCCCTCTCAGCGATCCACTGCTCCAGGTCGTCCACCTCTCGGTTCAGCTGGAAGAGACGCAGGCGCTCGTCCAGTTTCCCCCGGCGCTCCTCCGACAGATCCTTCAGCCCGGCGTACAGCTTATCCACCTGAGACTGACGCATGCCGATACGCTCACTGCAGCAGAGACAGACAGAGACATTCATATTAGATTCACATTTTTATCACTGTTACAGATGTGTATTTTGTAAATTGTGTAATTTATTTTCTTTTTTTCTGTGTTTGTTTGCAGACATGGCACTTTCAGCACAATATACAGGACAATTTGTCTGATAAAGGAAAGACAAATACCCATCCCCTATCCGCACCCCTACCCCATTAGGTCATGGTCACAGAAAAATAATAATACAAATAAAATAATAAATACAATAAAATAAATAACTCCCATCACAAAGTCACAGGAATATAACAAATTCACATTGAGTAGAATAATACATAGCTACATTTTAATACTTTTTTGTGCATGCTTCTTAGGTAACATGAAGCTGTCTTCGGCTCTTTTCTGCTGTAACAACTGTGCATTTCCCCTCTGTGGGACGAACAAAGGTATTCTGATTCTGATTATTAACAAAACCACATTCTGTAAATCCATTAAACAAGGATCAAAGCTTTCTGCTTGAGGTAAAGAGTGACCCCTGACCTGTCGGGGTGCTCTGCAGCCACCAGGCCGCGGCTGGTGCCCGACAGCTGGTGCACGGTCTCAGCGTAATCCTCCACCGCCTGCTCCAGGATCTGATGCTTCTTCAGCATGGCCACAGAACTCTGCTCGTCCTGAGGGACACACACACAGATATATAATAATATTATGTTGAAGAAAGAATCACTGGAGACAAAAGATCAGGGACAAAAAGACAAACTGAAAAGAAAGGAAAGAGAATTGCTTGAAAAATGTCTGTAACACAGATTGAAGAATGTCTTTAAACTCCGACAAAACTAGTGATTCATTAAAAGAGAGGGAGATGAAAGTGCAACAAATGTTATCTGAAACTTCCCTGTAAAACTCAGCGAAACTTGTCATCTTCACAGATTAAAACAAACTAGTCACCTAATTTAAAATATGTCATGTGTTTACTACAGTAAAATCTCTCAGTAAGCAGTGTGAAGTTTTTGAAAGGTTTGACCTACTGAATACACTGTAACAAAACCTAAAAACATCTCAGATCAAGTTAAACAGAACAACTAAACCATCTCATGTATTTAGAAAAACGTTTCTGTGATTTTACAGAGACCTAAATCAGAGTATTACATGTTTACTAACCGGGAGAAACAGCAGAGACAGTCTGACACCAACTAACAGAGAATCTACAAAGTGAGGAACTAACATGTAAACTAAAACGGAGAAACAGGAAGTAATGGATCCGTAAAATAACACTGAAGTGTGTGATAAATACAATGTGATACAAAAGTAGTAAGAGAAAACATCTGCTAAATATAAAAAAAAATATCCAAAAAGTATCCTTACAAAATGACTGAACATTTATTGAAAAGTATTTGGAAAAGGTCTGAACAGTTTGAAAATAAAATGTGAATGTCGCTTTTTAATAATTGTTTCAGTCATTTTTACTTTAAAAACATTAAGTGATTCTAGTTGATTTTAAATGTGAAAGTTAGCTGCTATTCCCTTTATTATTTTAATGTATTTAAAAAAATCTTTCTGCAATAATTACTTCAACTTTCAAAACTTTGAATACATTGTTTTGATTCTAGTTATTATAGGTTTCAATGCAGAACCTGTATTTGTATAGTGTGGTTTTAGTGCAGTTATGAACCTAAATGACCCAAGTACTTCCTCTAACTGTGTACAACATCCTCTGCAGCTCCTCTCCCTGACCCCTGAGCTTTACCCTTTGACCCCCCCCTCACCTTGGCCTTCTCCTCTGACATCATGTAGAGCTCCTGCTCGCTCATCCAGGCCTCGGCCTCGGCGGCGTCGAAGTAGTACTGCTGCGCCTCGTGAGCCTCGCTGAGCCGCGTGTGTCTCTTCTCCGTCTCCTTCTGGATCTGCTCCCACAGCGCCTGCAGCTCGGCGAGGCGCTGCTGGATCAGCTGGGCGGTCGGGCTGCCCCCCCGCAGCGCGTGCTGGCTGCGCTCGAAGATGTCGTCGAAGCGCGGCTGGTGACCCTGGATCTCCTTCTGCAGGGTCTGAGGGGCGGAGAACGAGGGGAGGGGGTTAGAGACAACACTTGGAACACTTTTAGGGAGGATTTAGATGGATAAGTGTGTGTGTGTGTGTGTGCGTACCTGGTTCTTCTTGATGAGCAGCTGTACGGTCTGCAGGTTGTTGCCGTGGTCGGTGGACGTGGCCAGAGGCATCCTCTCCTCCACCCACAGCTGCACAAAAGAGAGAGGGGTTATTACATTATTACTGCTGATACTACTAATCTAATAATACTATAAAAACTGCAATTATTACTACTATTAATACTGCTATCATTTCAAGTACAACTGCTATTATTATCACTTTTGAATTGATACTGCTAAAATGTCGACTATTAATACTGCCATTATTATTATTATTATTATTACGAGTACTGCTCTATTTAGTATTTATACTGCAAATATAACTAAAATATTGCCATTATTATAAATATTAATAGTGCTATTATAACATGGTTTACACGGCTACTGGCATTATTTGTTATTAGTAATTGAATTGTATGACTATATCTTATATACATTTATTTCATATTGAAGCCCAATATTTAAACCATTTTATGTCCTAAATTCTAATTTTTTTTTAAATTATTGGTTTCATCGTAAAAAAAATGCTGTATATGATAATAAAGAAACTTAAAGGTAGGGTAGGTAAGTTTGAGAAACCGGCTCGAGATCGCTAGAATTTGAAAATACACAACCGGCGAAAATCTGCCACTTCCTTACAGAGCCCCTCCAACACACATGAACGCGCACATGACCAATGAGGGCACGAGATAAGTTTGTGCACAGATGGAAGGCTGACAGGCAGGTAGGCCATCCAATTATTTTAGCCGGGCCGGCTCAAATGATTGGTCGTACTTTTTACAGTACTACGGCTTCCACAGATGATATTTTTTTATGGATTTTTTGTCAAAGCACTGAAGATATTCATTGCTATCAGGATGTTAAGAGCATTCCATGGAATATAACAAAAAGTGTATCTCGAGCCGGTTTCTCAAACCTACCTTTAAAGATGCTCTAGATGTTTAAGCTCCAGTTTCTCCCTATCAGTCTAACCCACTCCACTTCCTGTCTGCTGTACTCACGATCTCGTCCTCCACGTCTCTGTTGAACTGGTGGATTTCCCTGGAGGACATCAGGTTCTCTCTCCTCTGCTGCAGCGGCGCCTGCATGGCCTGCAGCTTGGTCTCCACGCTGATCCTCTGGCCGTCCACCTCCTCCGAGCCCTTCCCCTCCTGACTGAGCGCCTGGCTCTGGTGCTGCAGCTCCCCCACCTCCTTCTGACGCACCTCCACCTGGCTCTCCAGGATCTGAGGGCCACACAGGGGAGTTAGAGCATTCAAAAACACAGAAATAAGGAGGGGGAAAGTGGTTTTTTAAAGAAATAGAATACAGTTTGGAAGTGATTTTAAACAAGAAATACATATCCAAAGTCAACTCTTCTTTAGTGTATGAATACAAAATGGGTTTCACAACAATAATATAAAATGTAAGTGAACTAGAATGAAAAATATAACATAACAAATATTAATTCTCAAGGACCTTTTACTATTCATTTCCACAGCTTTCAATCAGAACTCATATTCTTCCTTAGTGAGTATATCGTTCGCTAAAGCTCTGGGAAAGGCTAGTTAAGATATTGTTCCTGTAAATTAGTCAAATCAAATAAATAGAAATACATGAACGAATGCAAAGTTTAAAAATAAACATGTAATTAAAATATTTAAATTGAATTAGAAGTCACACATTTTATCTACCCATCGTAAAAAAAATTGTCTTGAATTCAAATCTATTGAAATCATTAATCTCAAGAAACAGATCTAAAAATGAAAGCAGAGAGGAAGGCGAGGAATCCATTCTCTCAGATCACACACTCTGCCAACACACACACACACTTCTCAGACTCAGTGTGATAACACATCAAATGAAAGATTATATAACTGCTGTGAGAGAGCGGGTGTGTGCACAGCTAAGACTTTGAGAGAGAGAGAGAGAGAGAGAGAGAGAGAGAGAGAGAGAGAGAGAGGAGGAGAGAGAGAAGCTAGAGAGATGAGGAGAGAGCCAGAGGAGTAGAGCTCTCTCCGATCGCTCGAGAGGAAGAAGAGGGCTGCTCTTCTGACTCCTGCCTCTCTCTCGCTTCTCTTCTCTGCTCTCGCTCCTCGCTCTCTCTCTCTCCTCTCTTCTTCTCGTCCTTTTTTTTTTTTTCACAGTGTGGTTAGCTGCCTCTTCTTTCACTGCTGGTAAAAAAGGAGAAAACAATGAAGAGGTTCTTCCAGGAATTTAGGAGCTTTGGATCATTATGAATTATTGTTTGGAGAATTCAAAATAATAAAATTCAGAAGCACACTTATTTACCCTAAGACCAAAAACAGGCACCACAAATACAAATCAGCTTGTGCCAAGATTCAACATCTCCGGTGTCTTGTATGTTCTCTCTGTTTGTGTTTAGTGTGCAGTTCCCCTTCATTGTTCATCAGCTCTGAAGCTCTGAGGCTCAGAGGAAGAGAAACGCTGCAGTCAGAATGAGAGATGTAACAGGAAGTGTGTTTTACAGGAACACAGGAAGAGCTTCTGTGCATTAGAAACTGGAAACAAAGCAAACACACCCTCTGAGTCCTATCATTGGTGTTCCTGTTAATGCAGCGTTCCTGTTCATATATAATAACGGAAAAAGACAAAACGCATCCAAAAAACGACCAGATAGAGAGAGGCGCTAAATGACTGAAATAGACACCAAAAGAAATCGAATGAACATTATGTGCTTAGGAAATACAGTGAAGCCCTGAAGAAGAATGACTCCCAGCTGAAGGCTCACCTGCTGCTTCTTCAGCAGGATGTTGACGGAGGTCAGGTCCTTCCCGTAGTCGTCGGACTGCAGCTGCCCGTCCATGCCGGCGAGCCACTTGTCCAGGTCGGCGCAGCTCTGCGTGAACAGCTCCGCCTTGTTGGCGTCGAACAGACACTTGGCTTTGGTCTGCGTGGTGGACTCCAGATCCTCCCACATCTTCACCAGGGACGCCAGCTTCTCCTGCACCATGGCCCCAGTCTCCGGCTTCTCCGCCATCAGAGCCTTCCCGTCCTGAAAGAGGGAAAAGTATTGACTGTGACGGAAACTTCTGAAGCAATGGAGACGAAAGTCAGAGAGACACGAGGGGAGAGCTGGAACTTTGATGGCAAACACTGATTCTACATTCTCAAAGATATGGAAGTGACTGTTATTTTGTATATATTGATTGTTGTGCTTTTACACCTCTATCAGCTGACGCCAACAGGCAAGAACAGGGAGACAAAACACTGAGAGCACTGAGATCAGCCCAAGGTGCAGGCCTGTGCTCAGTGAAGGCAGAACACACTGATACACTGGGTCAACGTTATGGGCCTAGGAAAATATTTCCCCAACATTGACCATTAATCCCTGCACAGAATCCTGTCAGTTTTGTTCCGCATAATACCCTCTAAAACCCCCAAACACTCCTACAACCTAGTCAGATAGGAGTGCAGTTGTTCCTACCTTGTCGATCTTGTCCAGCCACTCCTTGTTGGACTGCAGCTCGGCCATGAAGGCCTGGTGTTTCAGCCACTTGCTGTGCAGGTTCCTGGCCTCGTCGTACGACATGTCCTGAGCCGTCAGCATCTTCTCGTTGATCCACAGGGACAGCTGCACACACACACACACACACACATCACATATATGTCATCTAAAAGGCACAAATCACAGACTCTCCAAGAGGTTAATGCAGGTTTTCTGAACTGTTTTGTTTTTAGATTTTTTTCTCAAAGTTATTCTGAGTCTGATATTCTTTCAAATAATTACACATATTTTTTAGATTTTTAATGAAAGGAGTTTGTTTAAATTAAAAGCAATTGTTGTCCTCAATATGACCTCTTATTGTGTACAACCCTCGTGCTTAAAACACTTGGTTGAACTTTTGTTTGTATTAAACTTCAAAGTGTTTGTACCTCCTGGCAGTCCTGCAGGAACCTCTGCAGGTCTCTGTTGTCCTTCAGCCTCGCCAGCAGCTCACTGGCAGCCGCTCGGTTCTTCTTGTGTCTGCACAACAAAAATCAATATATGTTAAGAATGAGTGTGAGTTAGGGAGGCACACAATACAGCTTCAGCCCCTCAAATATGGAGATGTCCTGCCTTTCTGTCTTTATATCTTCTTTAATTAAAAAAAACACATTGACTTTGAGAACTGGGTGGCAAAGTGTTAACTTTTTTCTGGTATTTTATAGACCATCCATTCATCTGCAGATAGATAAACTCCCAGTATGTTTCTCACCTGTCGTCGATGGAGTCCACTTTCTCCTGGATGCGCTCGGCGTTGATGTTGCCGTCGGCGACCAGGCGGCGCCCGGTGTCCATCACGCCGCTGATCTTCTCCTCGTTGGCGTCCAGCGTGGTCATGAAGTCCTCCTGCTTCTTGATGGCCGCCTCGGCGCCCTGCAGCGTGGTGGGCATCTCCGTGTGGGCCAGCACGTACTCCTGAGACAGAGAACACTTTATTCATAATGTGCACAACGATTACAGAGAAGCACTAGTTCTTTGTTGTGTTTTGTTTTCCAATATAATAATATAAATATTAAACTGAATACTACATGGTGCTGTAATGACCATGTTCTACCACCTGGTGGCAGCGTCTAACTGATGGAGGGAAAGATGAGTAACATGAAATCATCTGAATGTCTCTACTGTGCCCTACATCCCGTGCACAGCAGAAGAAAAAGGGTCATCTTGTCTTTCAATTATTTCAAATGTTTATTTTGATACTTGCAAGGGAAATAATGTTTCATTACGTCTAATTATGTTGACTTCTTTTGTGTTTGGCCATGCTGAATCCTGTTCAATATCACCTTCAACTGAATTCATCTTGGCCTTATTTAAGTCATTCTGCATCTGCATGATATCTTGATTAAGAAGATTTTAGTGTTAAATAAAGGAACAATGTTACTCTAGGGTTGTTAATGTACTTTAAAATGCACAGGTGACACATTAAGTCATTCTGCAGTCTGTGGCTCAGACTGAAGTAAACTCTTCAGGTGTGATGGATCATCAGATGTGAGCTTTAGGTGTACCTGGTTGTTGAGGAAGGCCTCGGCCTGCTTGGTGTCCCTGAGGAACAGCTGGTAGGCGTGGCTCTGGGACAGCAGGTTCTGCCGGTTCTCCCACATCTTGTGCAGCTCGTTCCAGCCGGTGTCGAGCGCCTGCAGCCTCTGCCGGAGGAACATGTGCTGCGCGTCCGTCTGGCCCTGCGTCACCATCTCGCCCATGTCCCGCATCTTCTGGTAGTCCTCCTCGTAGTTGCGGATCTCGTTCTTGATGTTCTCGTGCTGAGTCAGCAGCTTCTCGGCCTCGGTCAGCGTGTTGGGCATGTCCTCGGAGGCGATGGCCGTCTGCGTGCGGGACAGCCAGGACTGGAAGTCGTCCACGTCGCGCAGGAACTGCTGCAGCTTGCTGGCCTCGCCCAGGGACTCCTCGCGGTTCTTCATGGTGTCCTGGGATCAGGAAGCAAAGGAGAGGGGTTTGTTTGATCGTGCATAGCAATACAATATGAATTCCTCTGGCAACTTTCAAAATAACAATATACAAAATAGCTGTTATTTGGCCCTTCATTGTGTCTATTTGACAAATAGTCTCCAGACTTTTATCTTTCAATGTTCTACTTTTTTATTTTCACATGTTGTGCAATACCTTGTTGTAACATCAATCATTTGACACGCTTTGTAATAAAGATAGGAGAAGAGAAACTCATTAGTGTCGTGTCAGTGTGAGAGACCGTACCTTCATCTCGTCCCAGACGCTGGTGATGCCGTCCAGCCGGCCCTTGATGGCCTCAGACTGCTCCGGGTGTTCGGAGGCCAGTCGTTCCGCCTCCTTCCCCAGGTCCCCCAGTTTGTCCTCGATGGCGGCGAGGTCCCTCTCCATCCCCGTCAGCTTCCTCTGCAGCGCCATGACGCCCGCCAGGTCGTTCCCCAGCTCCTGGGTCGACTCGATCAACTGCAGCAGGACGGGGAGGGGGGGTTATTTATCAGTTTAACTGTGGTTAATAAGTCCCTGTTGGGCATCAACCACATTATGGTAAAAAAAAACACATTGTGGCACCAGTGAGCCTTAAAAACATTGAAAGTGTAACATAAAATAGTTAATTTAATGCAGTTTGTTACTGTCTTACTTCTATTTAAAGGATAATTATGTTCTTTGTTTAGGAAGCACAGTTCTATAACAATAATTGCACTAAACTCCAGCTTGCACTGACACAATATATATATTCTTCTACACATTTAAACATACCTATTTTTACTTAAACCGATATATTCCTGCACTTTAACTTGATCTGCATATTGAAGTATGGATGCTTGTTGTTTGTATGTTGTCTTCTCCTGAATGCTGTACGTCTCTTGTTTGTTTTTTTTGTATTTTTGATGGCACCTTAAAAAAAGGGAGTAGCTCTCCTCATCTCATTGTACCTGTATAATGACAATAAAGGATTCTATCTATCTATTCTATTCTCATAATGCTAAGTATAATAGAGTATTTTCTATACAATGATCCTGTGTGTTATCTCCCAGCTGCAGTTCAGGTAGAATCTGTGCAGTCTGTGGTGTGTAAAGTGTTTTTCTCCTGATGGTACCTTGGTCTTCTCCTTGATCCAGGACTTGGTCTCGTTGCACTCCAGGTGATAGTTCTGGACGCCCAGAGCCGAGCTCAGGCTGTCCTTCTTCAGATCCACCAGGTCCCTGAACGCACTCCACCTGCAGGGACAACCAGACAGAGACACCACCATCAATATGAGCTTAAACTGTTAAGTGTTTGGGGGAAATAGAAAACGACGATGGTCTCCAGTGTTGAAGTTTTGGTAAATTGAGACACCGTCAGAAATATGAACTTAAACTGAAGCTGGACCAGTTAACACGTTATTTAGTTTAGTTTGACCCCTAACCCATCACAGTCCCCCTGCTTCCACTCCTACTGCTATTTATTTGCCCATTTTGTTTGTTTACATGTTGAACAAACAAACAAACAAACAAAGCGCCCTTGGGTCTCTTGAAAGGCGCTATACAAATTGCATCTATTATTACTACAAGATTGCAGCCCTTGCATTACAGTTCATCTATCAGTATAACCCGATGTAAATGACCTAATAATCCCAGTTTATGCACTGGTTTAATCCCAGTTACATGGACAATCAGTGTTTAATAAACATTTAATTCAATTTTATTGGGTGTTACATTTCCAAGTACGCAGCCCTTTAAATTCAACATTATCTACTGGTAAAATCTTATTTAATGATTTGATAATCTCAGTGTATGCCCTGGTTTAATCCCGGTTTAGTTACCTGGTGTTGAGTTTGTCCTGCTTGGCTTTGATCTCCTTCTCACTGGGGTGTACGCTGTGGATCAGTTGCCGGGCAACCTGGTTCACCACGGCAACTCGAGACGCCTGGTTGTTCATCTCCGGCTCCAAACTCTCAAACCTGCAGAGAAACAAACGCATTTAAATTATAATATTGAATTGATCCTATGAAAACAGAAAGCTGGTGGGCGTGATCTTTCCCAGACGTGTTATTTATGCTAAATAAATTATCTAAATACATCTGTGCCCTTCTAACTTTTATCAGAATCATTGTTAAAGATTATTCCTGGTGCACACATGTATTATTATGTATTTATTTCAACAAAGACCATGCATACAAATACATACATCTCAGAAAAGAGATGAATTATGCCAGATTTGAGCTAATAGCTAATTTCCATCTGCAGTCCTACAATCAACAAACACTAAAAACATTGCATAATCTCTATCACACAAACAATTATAAAACATCATTTAAGTACAGGTCAACCAAATAATACATAGTACAGTTAAAATATAATATGATGTGCCCCCCTCACCGGTGCTGCACCACCTCCAGGTCCTCCAGCTTCTCGGGGATGTCCATGCTGTTGAGCCACTGCTCCTTCTCGTCGATCCACACCTCGCAGGCGCTGGCCTCGCTCAGCATCCGGTAGAGAGCGAGCGCGTCCTGCAGCGCCTGCTTCCTGAGCCGCGTCAGCTCCACCACCTCCTTGTAGCGCTCCTCGATGCCCGCCAGACGGCTCTGCACCTAAACCATACGATACGATATTACTTTAATGGTCAGATCAAGTCTGACATTTGACTTGCATCACAGCAGCTCCATGTGTAACGTCAACATGGACAAAAGAATTCAAGTTTGTTTTCATTTGCCTGAAACCAGCACCAGTTCCCAGTGAAAATATAATTAATTTTTTATTTGATTTCACACTTTTGATCTTCTGTTTCAGTGTGTCTTATAGCCTATACAAGATTTAGTTATTTCTAGGTATCTAGCAGCCAGCAAGACGACAACATTTATGGCTGTTTACCTACAAATATAAATAGTTTTTTCTGGCTGGACATATCAAAGTCAAGTCAAAGTCTTTCTAAAATATCAAACAAACATTTAACATAACAGCACGATCACTGTGATAAAACATGCTCAAAGAGCCTTTAGCGTGCATTATTATTATTAAAACACACTTTTTTGCCAATGTTTTATACATTTATACAGATGTCTGCCCATAAAAAAAATATTTATATATTTTGTATCTTTATTTTGTATTTATTTATTTTTAACAACTTTATTTTTCAGTTTTTCACAAATACAGTATGTCCAACATTCATGACAAAAAGTTGCAAATATATTCATATTTTTAAGCAAAGAGCAATAAATGTTGTCGTCTTGCAAGCTGCTGGATATACTATAAAGAACTGAATCTTATATAGGGTATAAGACGCACTGAAACGGAAGATCAAAAGTGTCAAATCAAATAAAGAAATCATATTTTCACCTGGAACTGTTGCTGGTTTCAGGCTAATGAAAACAAACTTGAAGTCTTCTCACTTTAACAGCTAAATCCTTAAAATAATAGACCTCAGATTTGCTTCTACATCCCTAATAAATGCTTATTTCTTTCTCCTCTCTTATTTCAGCTGTCCTAAGACCCTCACCTCCTCGGAGTCGGCCTTCTCCGGCGGCAGCGTGCGCGACTGCTCGTGCAGCGCCTCGATGACGGGCCGGTAGCTGCCGATCTCCTCCGCCACGTCCTTGTGTTTCTTCACCAGAGCCTGGGCGGAGAACTCGTCGTGGCCCACGTCCACGGAGGAGACGATCCGCAGCACGTCCAGCATCCACGTGTCGATGTCGTCCGCATCCGCCTGCACAAAGGACATTAGGACCGTTAAATAATCACAAACACTATCAATATAAATAAGTTCTTTTGACCTTTCCTGAATATTTAGTCTAGGTGTGAATCTTGTTCCTGCAGGCTAGAATAATAAGGGTCTCATTGTTTTAATACCTTTTTTAAAGTTATTTTCAATATATTTATACCTATGTCTGTAAAGTAAATAGTGTCTTCTTATTGGCTGTAAGATAACAATGAAGAACTAGTGGAACACAAACATTAAAAGGTTTAATAAAATCCCAAAACACTTTTAATATAAGAAAAACGTATTTTAACCTTATTTATTTTAGGTAATTTTAATTTAGGGTATTTCAATTATACACATTTCATACACAGTCATTTATAGTTACCGTATATGTTTAAAAAAAAAACAACCTTGATCATATATTGCTTATCAAGGTTTTTTTTGGCGGGTAAAGGGGTGACTTATAAACCCAGAAGTTTGTTTAACATTACATTACATTACATGTCACTTGTTAGACGCTTTTATCCAAAGCGACTTACGGTTTGAACCTGTGCTCCCCTGATCCGAACACCTACGCACTATTCCACTGCGCCACACGCCGCCCCGTTTAATGTCCTATTACCAATAAAAAATATTTAGACTAGGTGTCAATCTTTATCCTGCAGACTAGAAAAATAACGGTCTACCACACAATAAATAGTTTTGAGTTCTTTTGACCATAAAACTATACAGATGTTTTTTATTACCCATTTTTATACAGATGTCGGACAAGCAAAAATATTTAGCTTTTTAAGTAAACAGATGTAAATAGTTTCTTCTTACTGGCTGTTGGATAACTATGAAGAACTACATCTTATAAAGTGGAACACAAACAGACACAAGAGGTGCTTTGTGCTTTCAAATACAAAAATACATTTTCTCAGAGGAACTACAGAATAAGAGTTTCACCTGGAACTGGTGCTGGTTGCAGGCTTCCTGCAGACGAGCCTTACGGACGGCAGAGAGACGCTCCAGAGCCGCCCACTGCTCCTACAGAGAGAGAGAGAGGGGGGGAAATGAATGAAAATGAACATATATACATATTGGGACATATTTACATATTAGATATATTTACATGTGTGTGTGAAAACCGTGTGTATTTTATGTCTAGTAATTTGTGTCACATTGTTGAAATGATGGAATATTAACATTAGACTCTGGATGTTTGAGGAGGAACTTGTATGAACAAAATGATTTATTGTGTAGGTCTAGTGCAGGGGTGTCAAACTCAAGGCCCGGGGGCCAAATCCGGCCTGCGACTTCATTTTCTGTGGCCCAACAAGAGCTTGCAAAGAATATAATATGTTTGTTATACGGTTACATGGCGATTTACAGAAGCACGTTGCCCATACATGGAGCACAATGCATCTCAAATTTGACTTTTTTCTCAGAATTGACTTTTTTTCCAAATGTTACTTTTTTTTCTCAAAATGTCACCTTTTTTTCTTTTTTTAATTGTGCTTTTCTTTTCAAATCATTTTGTGACATTCTCACTAAAGAGACTTGCAATTATTTGCCCTAGACTTCTGCTTTCAGACCGAGTTAATTATGAAGTTATTACCCTATCCGATAATACTCCAATGCAGAGGCAATAATGTAATATAATACATTATTTTATATATATTAAATATTTATATGTATTTTTATATAGTCTTAAAGTTACAACCGGCCCTTTGAGTTCAACCATAATGCGAATGTGGCCCGTTATGAAATTGAGTTTGACACCCCTGGTCTAGTGCAAACAAATCAAACCAAATAATGTACATTAGTGCAAGACTGTCCATGGCGGCGTAATCCAGCACCAGACACTTCTTTACGTTGCTATGGACAGTCTTGCGTTGCTATGGACAGTCTTGCACTAATGTACATTCTCAAAGATATTGAAGTTACTGTTATTTTTATATCTATTGATTGTTGTGCTTTTATTTAGGTCTTAATGTGTGCATATGTATAAATGTGTCTTTGATTGTGTATATATATATTTGTTTTTGTATTTCGGGATTGTGGGAAACGGTATCTCGAGCCTCTCTGGTCGTACCTGGATGTCTTGGATGCGCTCTTTGATCTTGTCCGCTCCGAAGTGGTCGTTGGCCACCAGCTCCTCGCCCCCCCGGATGGTCTGCTGCAGGTGGGCCGCGCGCCCGCTCATCTCGTCCTCGAAGGCTTTGTGCTGACTCAGCAGACGCCGCGCTCCCGTCAGATCCTTCCCATAATCCTCGGAGGAGAGGATCTGCTCCTTCTCCCTGATCCATCCCTCCTGCAGGACACACACAGTCAGGACGCAGTTAGAGCAACGCAGACATCACTTTTAAATTGACTATTACGTCTAATCCACAAATCGATATATCCACAAGTAGCAATAAGCTTGACTAAAGTTTGGTTGAGTCTTTACTTAAACAAAAGGTATCAGTACAAACACATCTTTTCAAAGGTCAAAAAACCATATTGCTCCGTGATTCTTTTCTCCTTCGCACTTCTAATTACCAGCTGCAGTCGGCTACAGTATGACGTACATTTTACGACAGCTGGTTTAAATAAATGATAATATTAATAACTCAGGATTACAATGTTCAAATATATCTATATACTAGGGATGGGAATGATTAATCGACTATTCAAAATGATTCAGGTATTCGAATATGAGTTTTGAATATTTGTATTGTATTGTAATTATCATTATAATTCTTTTTGGGAGGGGTGCTGGAGAAGTTGATTGCATATTATCAAATGGATTAATTAAATGTATGCGACAGTGCCATTTTAAATATCTTAAGACAAATATCAATGAAAACTTGGTTTGGTTTCTATATTTATTTGATAATGTATTATTAAAACTTTTCTTTTTTAACCGTTTTTTGGGGGTCAAATATTCAAATATTAATGTGCTTTCAAATTCCCATCCCTACTATATACACGCATAATATATCAAATGATACATTTTAACATGGATCCTACAACTATCAATACTTATATTAAAAGTTATACTAATACTAACCTCTTCGGCCATCTCCCAGAAGAACTTCCAGAGGCGGCGCGACTCGTCGAGCCGAGCCCTCCGCTCCGACGCCAGCTGACTCAGCTCCTGGTAGCAGAAGTCCATGTGAGCCACTCGATCCCTGATGACCTGAGGGTCGCACGGCTTATAGCCTGAGGGGGGAGGAAGAGGAGGGTTAGGAGGAAGACGAGGGGGAGGAAGAACAGGTGGAGGACAAGGAGGAGAAAGGGAGAAGGAAGAGGAGGGACACGAGGAAAAGAGGAGAGGAAAAGGGAACAAGGAGAGGAAGAAGAGTGGGACAAACAGAGACAGGGCGATACAGAGGATTTGGAGAAAGAAAAAGAAAATGTGTACAAAAAGCGAGAGCAGGCAAAGAGGAAGAGGAGAAGGAGGAAGAGGAGAAGGATGAGAATAACTTTAAAGTGAATGTATTTATATCTGAGCAAACTAAAACTGAGAGATTCATTAAGTAGAGAGAATAAAATCTCTCTGTCTCTCAAATCAATTCAATGTGCTTTATCGGCATGAATGTCAGGTGAACAGTATTGCCAAAGCGTCAATTCAATTCAATTCAAGAGTGAAATGATGAGAAAAAAAACAATTCATTCATTAAACAATTTACAACAATATATAATTACAAAACCACAAGTATCACATGTAAAAAGAAAGACAGAAACAAAACAGACACATCTCTCTCTCTCTCTCTCTGTGTCTGTCTCTCTCTGACTCTCTGTCTCACTCTCTGTCTCTCTGTCTCTCTGTCTCACTCTCTCTGTCTCTCTGTCTCTCTCTGACTCTCTGTCTCACTCTCTCTGTCTCTCTGTCTCTCTCTGACTCTCTGTCTCACTCTCTCTGTCTCTCTCTGACTCTCTGTCTCACTCTCTCTGTCTGTCTCTCTGTCTCACTCTCTGTCTGTCTCTCTCTGCCTCACCCTCCATGTCGTCGGCGAACTTCTGCGCGTTGCGGTTGACGGTCTTCACGCGGTCGGCCTGGATGGCGATGTCGGCCTCCACCAGAGCGTGTTTCTGCAGCAGGTCCTCCACCCCCAGGAGGTGCTTCCCGTAGTCCTGGGAGAGGAGCAGCATCTGCAGGGAGGGGGGGGGGGGTCATCACAAAATACATTACAAGAGCACTTATTATGAAACTATGGTTTTACAGACATTCACTGGATCAGATGTTCAGTAAAAAAACTTCTAAATCCAACAGAAGATACATATCATATTCTATTACATGTATATAGACTTATATTTCGTATTTTATTATATATGTTGCATTGTTGGAGGAGCTCAGGTCAGAAGAATTTCATTGCCATTTCTATGCTGTAGCTTTGTGCATATGGCGATAAAACCTTTGAATCTTGATGATGTGTATTCAGTGAGTACACTCATAGTTTCTCTTCACTTGTCTTTATCAAGACTGCAAGGAAATGGGTATTAATAATTGGTACTTTGAAAAGTCACGTGACGGTTTGGATATGTGTAGATTGTAATATTATAAGATTAAACTTAATCTTCCAATAGGCCGGATATGGACGCCATGCTAAGCTCATTGCTAGCTCCCTCTGGAGGGTCGGTCTTGGCGTTTAGTTTTTGTGTGTGCTCAGTTTAGCAGGT